AAATATGTGCATCAAGTGCGTTGAGCCATTGAGAGGGCATAATGCCTTTGGTTATGCAAGCTCGTGGAATAATTGCGAGTCACATCTTTATTAGCGATTGTTATCTTTGAATTGCTTACCACATCATTTCATTCGTAGGAGAGAAAGAAAGGATAAAACAAAAATTAAATAGGAGGGAAGAGAATAGAATGGAAATAAATTAAGATAAAAATAAAATTACAATTATATCAAGTCCACGGTTTCCAGGGATCCATAAAAATTATAAATCAGGCTTTCTTCTGACGATCAATTCTTGTTTCATTCGTTTTTCGGTTGGCGCGAAACACGAATATATCTCGTATCTGCCGCTTGGAAAAATTGATCATCAATGTGCTATGTTCTGTCACCTGTTCTTCAAACGTCAATTCCCCAATTCATTCTTTAGCACACAATCAATCACACACGGTAAAATTGACAAGCACTGGGGTAACTCAGGTAAGAAATATAGTTTTGTACTACCAGATCAAAGGAAGTCAACTTCGTTGGCCTTTATTCCGATAATAACCCTTTCTGATCTACGAAAATTCCCGAGACACCGTGGAAATGCCCATAGAAATCCGCGAAGAAAAAAACTGTGTTGATGTAACATCTCCCGCCAGTTTCGGATATAGTCTATACGTTTCTGACCTTCAGGGTCCCCAGCAAGATACTAGAACCCTTACGACCAAGCCGCTGTCCTCTTGTTCAATTCTACAAGACAGCTCCTTTCAAAATTGGGTAGGTGTTGGCACACAAATGTCATGCAGAACCATGTGGAATTACCCGACGAGTCGAGCGAACAGCCGAGGAAATTTCAAAGTAAGTTATGCATTGAGCCTTTGATATGATCTTAAGAATTTTGATTTTGAGGTTCCCTATCCCACATCCTTTCCTGATACACGGCAAGACATTTGATTATCCTCTACTAACAATAACGGCAGAAACTCCATACGTTATTTGCAAAATCATATCACACGCACCAAGCAGTACGGAGCACACACCGCAGCAAATGAATTCGCGGAGTCAAATATCTAAAAGAATCAAGACAACACCATCCCTACGAAATTTTGTGAAAGATTATCTCGAGCAGGTAGCCCATGGATACATTTCGCGCCAACGACGCAAATATTTCCGTCGAGCCAGTTCATCAACGAGTATAAGACGTAGTGCAAAACCTTTGTTCTACGCGATACTCAAACCAAAAAGGAAAAGAGAGTACATTGGTGATATTTTTGGTAGGTTCAATTTCAAAGCATTGCCACTGTGCTCATTCGTGTCAAGAAGCTACTTGCCGAGTTTTGGAAACGCTCTGCCCATCTTCGACCCCACTAATCAACAAGCCCTCCGAAAATCGATGTCTAGATCAAAATTCCTTACACGAATTTATCTCAAAAACTGTGTATCGCTCAGGCACCAGACATAATACCTTGATAGTGGCATTACATTACTTGATGAAGGTTAAGCCACATGTCAAGCGCCTTGCACATGAAAAACTACAAGAAAAATTTCCGTCACAAACATTGCAATTCGGACGCCGAGTATTTTTGGTAGCACTGATATTAGCTTCTAGGTACTTGAATGACGAAACCATCACCACAAATTCATGGAGCAAGATATCCGGGATCAACAAAGTGGAAATCCAAAAGCTTGAACTATTGTTCCTCAAAGCGGTAGGTTGGCGCCTTCATATTTCCGAATCGAACTTTTACCAGTGGCGTGAGATAATCTATAAATTGGTCCGAGATCCTGAGTGGCGAGTAAATTTGCCTATTGATTCTGGAGATCAAGAGGACCAAGGAAAATCTTCGTTCTTGGGTAGAAATGAATGTAGTTGAATATATGTACAGTATTGACATATAGGATCTCCTTTTACCCCAAAGAAAAAAAAAGCATCTACAATAAAAAATTGAAGACTTCCTGGTCCCGTTGATCGGCCCTTATTTTCGCTCCCTTCATGAGAAATGAGAAACTTACCATTGTTCAAAGAATGCATTGAGAAGATATGTGACAACTGTTTGGGAACTTTACTGTACCAATTCTGTTCGTTCGAAGGGACTACCACGATTCATGTATTATAATCCAGATAAAGATTACTTGATTTTTTCAATCTGAAATTTATTGATTTACAGATGCAACTGACAGCACCTAGACTGAGCATCTTCCGACACATGCGATTGCAATATCTCGCTAGAGACATTACAGAATTTGGCAAAGCAGTACAGCAGAAATGGGATTCAGGAGACAGAAGGAAACACATGCAACTGAAAATGGTTTTACAGTACAGTGATGTTACGTACCAACGAAATGCAGTAGATCTTCCTTGATATACTCAAGAAAAGCACATGATCACGACCAGGGTACTACGTTAACTGCGAAACTAGACGTGATTGAAGTAGTAAAAGTTATTATTGTATTGATTCGCGTTTGCGAGAGTCAGGGTAAATGAAATCAATCAATCAAGCGAGTGTACTGTATTGATTCTCTTACTATCACCCCGTTTCTATAACTACTCCGCTAGCTCATGTTTCTCAGTACTGCCCAAGGGCTTCGCGGGGCCTCCAGTAGTGGCCGTGCTCTCATGCCTCGTTTGACGTCTTTTCCTTCCGAAATCCATGGAACCGATACAGTATCACAATTTGGCAAGCGCTTGCTTCTGCATCTTGCAGCACCTTGAGTTTCCTGAGCAGGTATATCCAGTCCAAAGCCTAGTTTCTTAGAATTATCTGTTTTTATCTCGAGACTTGAAGGTTCCAGCGCGGGATTTTGAAATGCCTTCCTTTTTGACCTCTTCATCTCGCTATTGTCAACAGCCCTCTTCATCTGCCATCGAAGAGGAAGAGCATGTGTCATTTAGTAGCGCAGTGGGTTCCTTACATTCAGAACATGCTAACTAGGTCTTGGAGTTGTCTGTCTGTCTGTTGAAGTATATTTGTTCTCCCCAATCTTATTGTGACCAGCTCGGGCGAGTAGCATAATACCCCCTCCAAATGTCAGGCCCTCACCGCTCTAGTGATAGAACGCTCACTGCATTTTGCCAGCTTGGACATTTGTGCTGTAGCGAGTCAGTCTTTGCTTCTTATCATGTGTGCAATCATCTTGAGTTGCCAGGTATTCAGGTTTCGCGCCATTTTGCAACGGTTTTAGGGTTGATTCTTGTATGGGTTGGGACGCTTGAGTTGAGACGACGACATGGCAATGCTTATTTTTGGATCAGTAATAATACATAACATTACAACTCTCGTCCGTTTGAATTTTACCTTTCCAAACTGAAACATGGTCCAAAGTACGGGAGTAACCATATCTGGATTTGGGGATCATGTGATTAGCGTTTGAAAGGGTATCTCCATGTTTACGGCATGGAAGGCGATGTCGGGCGTTACTGTAACGAACGCCTTCTCGATAAACATCTAGTGTTGCTTTCCTGATGATAGGACGTATATGAGATATGGGTGGTGTTACAAACGCAAGACTTCCTATAAAGTACTGTACAGGTCTGTGTTTCTACCCACTGTTCATAAAGTGTGGTCCCAAGCTTCCGCGGTTGGTTTGGACAGATAATCAAAGTAATAGTAGATCATCGAAATAATATTCAGTACAGACCTGCGAGCAAGCCCGAGCCTTCCGACGATCTGTTAAAGCCTCGATATTCAGATATTTAATCAGAAATAATCAACTTCAAAGCAGGTGGTTAACTGAGTATCAGCCGTCAAGCCCAGGCCTTGAATGCTAAAATAACTCTCTCTCACAAGACAAAAGTCATCGGCCACTAACGAAATATGTGTTCGTTGAACTGTCCGGCCCCGCGAGGATGTGGGATCTGTTGCTGGAAGCGGGGATGTAACACAACGAGAACCTAACAGTCTGCACTGAGTACTTTCGAAAGGTCAGTAGCTGGAAGTAAGTCAAATTTGAGAATTTACTTAATGTCAACCCCCATAGACTTTCTAAAACTTCTGTTTCGAGTTCGGACATGGACTCAACATCCGACCAAGACTGTAAACCTTCTGGGGAATTCGGTTCATTTTCAAAAATATGACCATTTGTGACAGCAGGGCCACAAGAAGAAGCCTGCATTGCTCTCTTTTCCAATCGTCGTGACGATCGAGGTTTTTTCTGGACACGCATTCTGTCCACAAGACGAGGTTCCCAGCCCCACTTCAGGCGATTATACTGGCCGCGTAGGGATTCTTGAGAACGTCCTGTTCGAAACTTTTTGTTCCATAGAATGACTCGGGCAGGCCAGGAAAGATAAGAGTATTTTTCCAAGAAGGCCTTCAGTGCGGACAATTCTTCCTTTTTCCATTGCATAGTGTGGTGATGTGGTGATCGGAAAGTTGAATCTGACAAAAAATGCGCATGAAAAGTGGGATGACCACGATGATAAACCTTTCAATAAGCCTCGAAGGTCAACACTGGGCACTAAATAATAGTAAAAAGGGGAAAAAAAGAAAAAAGAACCAAATGAAAAGCTGGGACCAGAAGCATTGGTGGAGATAAAGCCATACTAGGTAGGCCCAACATGGCGAACACATGGCCTACGACGTTACTGTTCAACAGAAGGTACTTTACAGAGATCCACAATTTATTCACATCACCAACGGCGCTTACAAAGTTAATTCGATTGGCTAATTTGCGTTTTCTGGTGAACGGAATCACAGGGCTGGAGACATGGCTGGACACTACACTTCTCCATTTAGGCATAGTGAAATTACGAAGGGTCAGCTTTTCACATCAATGAGAGAGGGCACCAATAGAAAGAACAGGTTTAATGACAATGAAATGAGGGGTAGAGTGACAGGGTATATTCAGGAACGCGAAGTGATGCGGCCATAAACCTCGAGCCTCCTCTCGACATCCACGCCAGACACAGCCTAGGTTTGGGTTCTGCACGCCTAGACGCCATAGACGACTATTATTTTATTATTTGGATCGAAATTGTGGATCATTACGCGAGCTTCCAGTTCAACTTAGGAATAAGAAACATGGTCAAGGAGGCCCATATACCGCCACAGTCAGGCGGACCAGCCTCCAGATGGCTCACATTTTTGGGCGAGCTGTGTACTTTGTACGGGGGCTGGGAGAATGTGGTAAGTGGAAATAGATCTAGAAGATGAAACATCAGCTGATGATACTTGTTTGAAAAGAAAACACTACTCAAGAGCCATGAGCCTTGTGTGGAAACGAATAGGAGGTACAAAGAAATGATTGTGCATCTCATCAAACAGCTCGAAGATATTCGAGGTCTGGCTCAACGTGGACAGATTTTGGACGCCAAAGTCAAAGGTCTGAATGCATATTCGCAGGAAGGGTTTGGAGGTGTAGAAACCGTTCACGGGGTTGATCACGGTCAAGTGAATGATCGTTTCCACGCTGGCGACATGGCGCCACAGACTCGACAGCCTCGGCCGAGTGCGACGCAGCGCTCGACTCTCCATCAGGGACTGCCGGTCACAACCCAGAGACAGTCTCCTCCGCAGCCCATCTCGGACCTGGGCGTGTCGTGGCCAATGAACCAACATCCATATCCAAGCTCGGGAAATCCTCCATCGAACCACGTCCAGCCCCCGTCTCATCTCGCGCCGGGCCTCCCTCAAGGCCCGGTGGGCACAATGCAGCAGCAAAATGGATTCACCGTTGATCCGGGGCAGTTTGGCGCCTCGACTGCCAACGGCAACGGGCTCTCTGTGCACCCCTCTCAGATTCCGACGACTCAGCAGGGTATGGCTAACTGGGAGTTTGCTACACAAAACCCAGTTTCCGCCGCATCTACAAATGGCCATACCCAGCATCCCGATATATACGACCTTGACCGCTTTTTTACTAGCCTGGGGGAGAATATTTAAGTGTCAAGGGGCGGCGGTACTATGTATCTTGTGTTGTCTACTTAATGCGTGTCTACTTAATGCGTGCCACCTATATGAAAGCCTAGCTCCACGCTAATATCTCGTATTCGATCCACAGCAATAGCTGCCGGATCTCCTTACCTCGCGGAGACGTCCTAAGGTGCATTAAGCAAACAACGGTAGACGTATGAGGTTCTTAGTGCACGATCCGCTCGGTGCTAGGCAAGCCACCCTGTATAGATTTTAGGTCCCGTTTAGGAACGGTAGCTACATCTGCCACACAAGGATCCTTTGTTTGGATATGTCCACTTCTGTTGCATCTTTTCCCCCCGTCCCTGTCCTGGGCTCTGCTTGTGTAGTAGAACCCCGCCCGATTTTGCATGGGGCGAGACTCGTCATGATCTGATAGAGCCCCTTGTGTGGATCAAAGATAGGTTGGGATCCTAGTCTGTGAGCGGAGATTGAGCCGCCAACAAGGCATCCTAAGGACTATCGGAGATAGGAAAAAGGCCCGTCTGAGCAAGCTCTCGCTACGTCCACGTGACCAATGGCCCCCTATGCTCTTCGGCCAGGAGGATAGATGCATGCCCTCGTCTGATCTAGTTTGACGAGCATGGCACACGGTCGGCCTCAAAGTAGACGCGCCGGCGAGGGGTCCTGTCCCACGGTGTCCGACATAAACCCGATACATCAGAGAGCAAGCACAACAGAAAATTGCCAAATACAACCCTATCTAGTCCAGTAGGCTCCAATGGCGGAGGTCAGGGTCTAGGTCCGGTTCCTAGTCTCTCGCCGCTAAGGAAATCTAGGCCCAGCGTGTCCAGTACTTCAGTAAATGTATATTATCTAAGAGCTATCCTAGCATCAACGTAGTTTCCTAAGTTAAAACGATGCCGTAGGAAAGCAGGCTTAGATAATTTGATTTCCCCTCGACTTAGCCTAGGGGCTCACTCTAGCAACAAGAGGGCAATAAAATCATCTTCCTACTAGTAGACATCGACACCGATCGTTCAAAAGTACCGGGCGGAGACTAGGCGCCATGGATTAGCCGCAGCAGCTCTAGACCAGAGTCTGCCTTTCTTTTACCCCGAGGATCACGTTGTTGGCTATGCCTGTGACTACCCGCCCCGCCTCCGCAGGCGTCGCGCAATTGGAAGAATGGGCCTCCAATCTCCACACGGGCGGCTTCCGGGCCGGGGCGCTCGTTGCATGCTTGTGCGGCAAGATGGGCACGCCTTCCTTCTGCCTCTGTACACAACCCTCTTCCGACGTCTACAGTAGATCCGGATATGAATCCAAAGTAGATGATGTGTTTTTCTGTGGCCCCCCACGCCAACATCCTAGGATCCATCCTGTCTCGGCCCCTATGAGGGTCTGTTGTAATCAAAGGACCCGAGTATGGCGGTGGGAGTCCTTCCGATTGGTCGAGGATGACGCTGTGGCTAACAATCGAGTAGGGGATCCAATTATCGATAGGGCAACGAGGTCGCTAAAGCATGAAACTGTGGCAAGCTAGGCTGGGTTTAGTAAAATCGACTTGATTAGTCTAGAATTAGGCGCTGGGAAATCACGCTAAACATGGTCGTCACGAGAATTTCACGCCTAATGCACATCACGTGCGGTACGGTGATGCGACGGGCCGCTGATCAGGAACACTCCTATTATAACGACCAACTCATTCGCCATGTCTATGCCAACCCAAGGGCCACCATAGTGGCATCGCGATGGACGCGAAGGCTACGCTTATGGGATGGGGCTTCCCACGGTGAAAACGATGATCAGTATCTGCAGGACAGCTGCGTATAGCGCGGTCAGTGATATGATGGCAGGGGTACTAGTCTGATTGACTGCGCCGTAAAACTGATGGACTACGCCGTAAAACTGACATAGCGAAGGCCTCCTCCCCAGAACCAGCCCACCTGACTAGGCGAGTCACGCGAACCTGATCGCCTGGCCCCAATATCCTCATTGGTGACTAGGATGATTGTTGGGTTCGCTGAGGCCGTCTACAGGAGATCTCGCCTCCGACATCAGAGCTCTATCGGTTTACTAGAGAACGGATTGCGTCACCTTACAGACAGATAGCGCTGCCCCGGAGACTTGGCCAATTGCCTTACGTATAGCACAGGTTGTTGGGTTCGCATTCACACCTACTAGTCGAGATAGGGAAAGAGACAGGGGCGTGCAACGCAGCGACTACGGTATGGTAGTGAGTCATGTTCCTGGGGGGACCCGTACCACCTATCCCAAGATGAGTGTTCTAGCCATCCTCGGATGTGTCGGTCCTAGACTATGGGACAAAGGGCACTCGCTGTGACCTGCTGACGCAATCGGTATTAGTCCATTTTCCTAGCCAATACGAATAATGGTTACGTCAAAGAGGCTCGCTTCGAATGGCTCACCCTCCCTATCACAGGAATGGGACTTGCTATAGTCGAAAATAGGCCCCGTTGCGGAATTCTGAGAGGCATACGGCTACATGGCGGAAAGCAGGATTCCCATGAGTAGGTCACGCTAGCACAGAATTACTACCAAACGTATCCACAAAGGGGGCCAACAACAGAGCAGGGTCTCTTGTTGTTGACTATGGGGCAGCTGCAGTTGGCATCCCATCAGAGTGAAAACCGCCAACAGACATGCGCTGTCACAGTTTGCAATTGAAGGTGCGCGCATTTGCGCAGCTGTGTCTAGCATTACACGAGTCTAGCCAAGTAACCTGAACAGTGGCGTGATGGATGTTCCTCTTTTGTCTATGACTGAGTGTCCTGCCGCCGAGGTGATCTCGGTGGCGTTTTGGAAACATCCCTGCCGTTGAACGCTGATTATCATTACTGTAATGCTGCAGGTGGATTACATGAGTCTGGCTAGGTTTGCCTGCGCTGTGGGCTTCATCCCTGCTGGTGAACATTGACTATGGAGACTACACGCTGTAGTTGATCACACGAGTCTGGCCGCGTTGGCCTACGCCGTGTTGGCTTCATCCCTGCTGGTGAACATTGACTATGGAGACTACACGCTGCAGTTGAATCACACGAGTCTGGCTGGATTCACCTGCGCCGTGTTGGCTTCATCCCTGCCGTTGAACATTGACTATGGAGACTACACGCTGTAGTTGATCACACGAGTCTGGCCGCGTTGGCCTACGCCGTGTTGGCTTCATCCCTGCCGTTGAACATTGACTATGGAGACTACACGCTGTAGTTGGACGCGAGTCTCGTCATGTTGACCTGCGTGGCGTGTTGGCTTCATCCCCGCCGTTGAACATTAATTATGGATAGTACACGCTGCAGTTGAATCACACGAATCTGGCTGGATTCACCTGCGCCGTGTTGGCTTCATCCCTGCCGTTGAACATTGACTATGGAGACTACACGCTGCAGTTGAATCACACGAGTCTGGCTGGATTCACCTGCGCCGTGTTGGCTTCATCCCTGCTGGTGAACATTGACTATGGAGACTACACGCTGTAGTTGATCACACGAGTCTGGCCGCGTTGGCCTACGCCGTGTTGGCTTCATCCCTGCTGGTGAACATTGACTATGGAGACTACACGCTGCAGTTGAATCACACGAGTCTGGCTGGATTCACCTGCGCCGTGTTGGCTTCATCCCTGCCGTTGAACATTGACTATGGAGACTACACGCTGTAGCTGATCACACGAGTCTGGCCGCGTTGGCCTACGCCGTGTTGGCTTCATCCCTGCCGTTGAACATTGACTATGGAGACTACACGCTGCAGTTGAATCACACGAGTCTGGCTGGATTCACCTGCGCCGTGTTGGCTTCATCCCTGCCGTTGAACACTGCCTAGTGATACTACACGCTGTAGTTGAATCACACGAGACTGGCCGCGTTGGCCTACGCCGTGTTGGCTTCATCCCTGCCGTTGAACACTGCCTAGTGATACTACACGCTGCAGTTGAATCGCACGAATCTGGCTGGATTCACCTGCGCCGTGTTGGCTCCCTGCTGGTGAACATTGACTATGGAGACTATACGCTGCAGTTGAATCACACGAGTCTGGCCATGTTGACCTGCGTGGCGCGTTGGATTTACTTATGTCATCACTAGTGATTATCACTACTGCAACACTGCCGTACACCAGATTAGTCTTAACAATCTACACCTTGGCGCCGCCTTGGATGGATTATTTTGGGCAATATGGACTGCATCCACTCCAGCGGTACCGCGTGTTGAACAGTACGGTGTTAGATGCGGCGTGGGTGTAGTTTCTAGGTTCGGTATATTCTAATAGAGTGACTAGTATCTGAAGTTGCTAGTCAACGGGGCATTAGCCTGTTGTATCAAGCGGAGACCGTCACTACGAATCAACGAGCATCTATAGGAACCTCTGTAAATTCGGAAATCAGTCTGGTGGAAGAAAGTTTTGCCGAGAATTTTCTAAGCCATTTGGATGGCTGTAGCTTCCGAGTTACTTTATCGGTGAACTAGCTTTCCTCGTCGTAATTTAGTTGGCCGCACTGCACCTGGGAAAGGCTTCTCATTTCTCCCAGGACCCCCCTAGTGTCCTATGTATGGAATCTTCAGCTAGGCCATCAAGGATGTGGAATTCGGCCTAATTTAGATCTCAGGTGTAGTCACGGACTCACGGTGAATCTCGCTGCAAAGCCGTTGAACATTGCCGTCCGAAGTCCGTGCTACCATCTTCGAGCCTGCACGTTCGAATGCAACAACAGGGCTCGAGCAGGCCATTCTGTAGGATACGTGGAAGCTATCAATTGGTTCCCCCTTGTATGATTTTCTTTGCCCATTTTTATATTTGGGGCAATGCGCTAATGGTTGAGCAATCGCAACCTTCTACGCATATTCACAGATCTTTATCATCTCTCACTATTTTTGTCTATCTTTTATTGAATTGTCACTAGCTTTTTAATAATCTGCTTACACATACTGTACTCTTTTTTGTCCGCGAGTCATGAATATGGGAGAGTTCGACGCTAGAGAGATCACGGCCCTTCCGACGTTCTTCAATAACTCCGGCGCCCTCCCGTGGCAACCAGAAGACAATCGACTAGGCAAAAAGTTGCACGCAATCCAGAATCAACAGCCATCTCTAGGATCTAATCCTCAGATCCCTAAAGATAGGAATCAGAAGCAGCTCTCCTCTAAGAAAATCGCAAGGCGGAAAAAGCCCAACTCTCGTCAGCGATTTTCTAGTACTGGGAACTGGTCATATGAGGAACTCGAATCCCTCCTTCCTTTCATTGAAGCGAGACGCTCGATTTCGTGGAGAGATAAGGTGAAGCTATGGAACAAAATGTTCGGTACAAACCGTTCCCCAGAATCCCTACGCGGGCAATACAACCGGATTACAGGGCAGGGCACACTAGTAGGAGCTCTAGTCAGACCTTTGGCAACCAGAGTACCGGCGGAAGCTTCTCATGAGCCACGAATGTCATCGGTAGGCCGTTCGCCCACGTCTGCTAGTGCCTCACATGCCTCTCGCCTAGCGCAACGGATCGACCTCTCAGGCACACGCGGCATTAATAGCGACAGTAAGATTGATTCTCGAGAACAATTGGCAGGCCGTGTTGCCCCTCATGCTATATCAGACTGTCGAAAATTAGGCTCTAGCCATGTCTTTACAATTAGTGAACTCCTTTCCACCTCTGATCCCGATGAAGGTAGATCAAAGGCACTTTTTTATGTTTACCAGAGATCTTTAAAAATCCTAGCTAACCAAGTCGTTTAGGCGTCTCTAAGGGACCAGTAGGCCAGGAAGGAGAGGCCTTTAGCTCGCCACATCAACATCAGGCATCTTTACCACGTATGGATGAAGAGATCTCACAGCAGGCCCACGCCACCCCCCATAACCCGCTTCTCTCCAATCCTGCTTATCTTTGTCTCAAAACAGCGCAAGATGACGGTTGTGAAAGACCAAGTGGCCCCATATTCAGGCCGATGTTAGCTCAACCGCCAAGCCCTGGATCAGGACGGAGCTCCACGGCCAACCAGTCCCTACAGTTACAATCATCGCCAAGCCAAAGCTTGGCTTCTAGTTGGACGTCTCGCATGGAAAGCATTCAACGAAGCAACGGCGATAAATTACAGTGGCCGGATGACAGTTGTGCTCAACTCTATCAAACATTACATGAGCAGTTATGGGAGGTCCTCGAAACGCAGAGTGGGCCCCCGCAAACTCCGGCGCGACAGGACCAAGAGGCGCAGATCGTACATTCTCAGAGGCCGGCACGGCAGGATCGCGCAACACAGACCGACCTATCGCAGAACCTAGAACCGCAGAGTCTAGTGTTGCAGGAAAAGCCCCTGTACGAAGACCCTCCCGAGAAAGGCAATGGCTATCCTGCCAAGCGCCAAAAGAAGAACTGCCGGCGCCTTCAGCCTCTGGACGTTTCGTTGGATCGGAATTCGTTCGGCCATAGTTCGGCCAGCACATCATCTTCCCAGGAAGGTACCTGGCGCGACTGGGTGCTAGGAGGGCTTTGGGGAAGAGGAAATGGCAGGACAATTTAGTTCCGCATAGGTTCCCTAGTGAATTTGATTCGAGTTGCAATCAGCCGGTCTTTACTAAAGTAATTACAACCTGTCACATCCAGCAGGCTCGGAGGAACAACACTCGTTGACATATTCGTGCAAGGTCGCACCCGCCATTCTGAGTGGATTACAGTGCTTCGGCTTCAGGTCAGTTTAGCTACTTAGTTACCCGACGTTAGGATTTGGGGAATTGTTGCACACAGCAACGTACTGTACAGTACATCACTTGCGCTAGGCGATTCGACAGACACCGAGCAGTCAGATAGCTGGAAATATATGTATTTCCTACATTAAGTATGACGTGTCTTGCCTTAATCCGGCGCCTCGCTGAGGTTGATCATAAATCTCCATCCACTAGATTGAGTGTAAATTCGCATTTTGGTCCACTGGTAAAGTCAACTGCCGAAGCGATATGCTGGAGACAACCACCATATGTATCTGTATACGTATGCGTATGGTGTACAACTTCCCGCAAACGAATTTAGAGGCTCGTTAAGACCGGTCGTGCTCTACTTACTGTCCATGTTGTTAAACTGCCCTCCTGCGCACGATTCTGAAACTGTTATAACTTCTTGGCGAAATCTAGGATAGTTTTGACTGCTCTAGCCTGCGAAACGCTATCTGCTTTACCTCTCCCACTCTTTCTTAAGCCTCCCAGCAGACTCAAGGTGCCGTTAAGCGCGTCTCCGGCTTCCCTCCCTAACGCCCATCGCATTTTCCTCGGGTTTGGGCAGCCTACTAGGACATGTGTGACTGTTTCTTGAGCACGGCACCCGCAGTCATCGTCATCTCAGAATCGATGGCCCCTCCGTTAGGATCAAGCCGAAGCAGTCACCACCAATTATGGAGCATCTATAGGTATGCCCGTAGGTTCCAAAATGAGACTATTATGGGTATAATACGCTAGCATGGTCCCATTTACAATGATCCCGGCATGAATATAGCCCGTGCTACCCAAAAACACTCCATCTAAAGCGGCACCAAAGCGTAATTTGTGAGACTAGTGGGAAGTAACATAGCCACACACAAATCCTTTTTAAACTAGAAAATGTTAAATACAACAACAACATGTCTCTATTGTCCATGTGAGGCTAGCTCCGATGGAAAAGGCAACTGCTAGCCCTGTTGCTTTAAACATGTCAGGCCCAAGGCTAATGTGAGCTCCGAAAGGCTCAAGAAAGTTCTGAATATCCAAACTTGCTATGCAGTATATCACACTGACCGATGCACCAGTCACTAGAATTGATGCGGACTATGCAATTTGTCAGTAAAGCTCCATAAGCCATTCCGGTCCGATTACCATTGAGAGCAAAAGAATCCACGTCTTTTTTTCCAAAAAAAACCTTGAACTGAGACCGAAAATTACGGCAAGAAGTGTGGTCCCAAAACCCGCTATAAAGGCCAAAGTGGACCATTTTGCTTTGTCACAATACGAGTGAGACGACTTGTCACCGCTTCCAAGATTCAATAACCGTTCATGGCTGACAGTGGAGCTGAAGATATCCGATAAGTCAAATGAGAATGTTATACTTGGTTTAGAGCAATTAAAGTATGTTGCTGCTGCTTGCTGGTTCCCTTCGCAATATCCCCAGAGTCCAAAGACGTAATAATCCGGAGAATAGGTACCGAGTTTTGAATTTTGAGCATCACGGATCTGGTTGAACTGGCCTCTCCTACTATAGATTCCCCGGGATGCGTTCACAATTTCGCTCTCTGCTTGACCTGTCAGGATTGATGTATTTCCGCGAGAGTCTTCGGCCAATTCCGTAGAATGAATTTCCCGTGAGCCGGAACTGCCCATATCAATCTGTTATAAAAGTTATAATTTAATCCTTCAGAAACAAATTTTAAATTCAGTTACCACCTTCATAAGATAGAAACTTTTCGGGGACAATGGAGACGTGCACCCGATAAGCATTAGAACAAGACAGGTCAAGGCTCCAAGTGAGAAAACCAGTGGAATAAACTGGAAGACACGCTGCAGCATCGTATCTGGTTACGTTTTTACAGTGAGTTTTTGCACAAAGCATCCCATTAAAGCAAGTCCGAGCGGAGAACATATATATTATGGGCTATGATTGCCAATCTGGTACCTTCGATAAATAAATGCTGCCAACGGGGTTTGAATTCATTTCTTTGTTGATGGCCTTTAAGTAGCGAAAGAAAATAGTTTATGAATATATATATATGAGATGCATAGAAACAACAATTACGTAAGCGCGGGCGTAATTACTCAAGCCGTCGGATAACTGTCCAAATAGCGCAGGTGAGGTGGCATTGACTGTGCGTTTCCGTAGAGCAGGCACAACTATAGACCTGCTCAAGGTCAGGATCACTCCTGGGCATCACGTCACAGACTTGTCGGAACGCAGCCTTGAAGGCGTCATCAGTGACATTTGATACCGTATCCTCACACTCACTATATTCCTTGACCGCTTCATCCCTAGGTCCAGGGATCTCCAGCAGGCTTCATTGTTATATAAAGCACAATTCTGAGATTCCAGAGAGCACTATGGCTATCCCCGGAAAGGTTGCCCTCATCACCGATGGGGTCAAGAATCTCGGTGCCCATAGCGCTCTCCCGTTGGCTGGTGTCGGCGCCAACCTCACTTTGCACTATCACTCCGCTAGCGGCAAGAATGACGCTATAAATCTGGAAGCAGAACTAAAGAAGAAAAGGCCCTTCATAAAAGTTGCCTTCTACCAGGGCCACCTGACCACCGCCGGAGCTGTGGCGAAGCTCTTCCAGGATGTTCTTGAGGACCCCAGGCCCGCCGATATAGTCGTCAACACGGTGGGCAAAGCTCTCAAGAAGCCTATCGTTGAGATCAATTGTTGTAAACAGCTAGATTATTTCCCATAAAGCCTATTTCCTACGGTACGCAAATGGGTACTCTGTATATCGGTTGCCAATGGAATTACACGAAATTGGCCATTTATCAATTTCATTATAGCCAATATCTGACGAAGAAGGAAATTTGTTAGACTAATGTTGTCGACATCAGGGTTCCAAAAAAGCCAAATGGGTGCACGCATGTCGCAGCATTGACGGTCCATCAACGCATTTGTGTGAGAGTGGCCGGTAGCAAATACTGGGTCGCATTTTATTTAGTCCATGGCTTTTCTGGGAGAAGGGTCCCTGCTGGAGATGGGACTTTCTGAGCCCGAGACGCCGCTTTTTTTCTTTTGCACAAGCAGACTTTGAACTCTAGCCAATTCCTGCGATAATATGGCGTTTTCCTGAGCTTGGCGTTCCATAGTCTGTTGTTGCTTGTGGATCAAGTCGATTAAGTAAGTATTATCGTTTCTAACACGCTGTAGGTCCCGTAGCAGAGACGGAGCATCGGTCTTCTCAAGAGCGTGGATGGCCGGAGCAAGCCTACCTAGGGCAGCGGCGGTACGGCTTAATTCAACCCCTAATGCCGGCTCAAATTTCCACGAAGAATCGGGATGCACTGGTTGAAAGACGTGATTCTTTGAGAAAGGATCCGGACCACGAAACATATTTCTTTTACGGGGATCAAAATTTTCCCACTCTAGAGCATCCTATGTTCGTCTGTCATGATCAATATTACTGTTTTCGTGAGAGTATGTACTGACCTGCATTATCAATTTAGAAACGGGAACGTCTCTTTAGACAGTTAGGCAGGAGAACTGGCGTAGAATGTGGCGTGTTGGCGTGAAACCGCTTGCGTGTCTCAAGCTAGAGAAGGTCGAGGCTGGTTTGGATATAAATTATCTTGATCCGAACAAACTTTATATAGATACATAAGAATTGGCTAAGATTTGCTCACGATAAAGATGTTAAGTTTCTACAAATCTGGCTAACTATGGCAATTTCACCCATAGAAACCCGAGCTCGGTCAATACAAAAATGAATGTTTAACACGTCTTCTGAGACAAAATGTGCCCGGTCTTGAGATATTTTGATTTCGTTTTTTGAATTATAATTTTTATTTTTCATGTCAATCACAGCCTGCTGGAGCGACCACGGTAGAAGCGACTGGGCTTAACTCTCGGAAATAGAAAGATTTTGTTCCTCTTCTATATCTTTTCTAGAAACAATTTTATTTCTCTTGTTTTGTAAGGGGCTACATATCCGTACGTTCTTTATTCTGTGTGGACTTTTATCAACGGTATGAACGTTTGGGACCATATCGTTCGAAAATATCAAAATGGGAAGGTGTGTTCCCCACTAAGCGTCCTCCGTCTTTTTTCCCTCATGAAGTACGGGGTAAAAAAAATAAAAAATTAATAAAAATTAAAAAAATTGATGGAATTGAGTTTTGCACTTAACGATCCTCTCCATCAAATGCCGACCTCTTTGAATGAGATATGTTACTGGATTCCTATGGGTTCAAATGAGCTAAATTATCACGTTCAACCGACCACAACTGAACGTAATGCTTATAATCTTAAGACCGCCTCTTAGTCTTCCAGCCATTGACGCTTTCATTTTTCCGCATGACATATCCATAAGTCGATGCGCAATTTGATTCGGAATTGTGAACAAAAGCGCGAATCATTTACTGTGATGGCGCGACCGAAAGGCGGGGAAAATGGTGGCAGAACAAACGACCGAGCGCAGCAAGAACAAATACGTAAGCGCCGACATAATCTTTTCAGAAGACTAAAAGAATTCAATGACCGTTACGATATTGACATATGGATGACCATGCGGATGCCGAGCGGATGGGTTTATACATTTGTTACAAAGCCGGATGAGGCGTGTCCCACTGAGGATGAGCTCGTAAGTCGTCGATTAAAGATTAAATAGTTTCGCTGACAATATTGAAGCAGTTACAAAGTCTTCCAATAATCCGAAAGACCCCTGCAGACTATGTTCAGAATACCGAACCAAGGTTGATCGTGCGAAGTCCTCCAGTATTTTCATTGCCTCGTCCCTCATATTGCGTTGGAGTCGATCGTCTTGAAAACGCTCAGGACTCTGCCGACTTTCCTTTACAATCCCAAAGGCCGGGTGAGAATGGTAATATTCAAGTGAAAGATGAAAAGAATTTCTGGGCCTGATTATCAAGACCTTGTTGGCTCAGGGCATATAATCTCTGTCTATTTTTGCGCAGTTGCCTGATAAAGTTTCCTCAGATCTCTTTAAAACACGGTAATTATACCTTATTAAATAAAAATTGATGTTATGGCTTAACATGTTGTGTTACGGAACAGTGGAAACCGGTCTGACCAATGGAATCATAAGTGTCCGCCGTATAATACGTCTAGCATTCTCTCTCTATTTTCCACCCACAGCTCCTGGTCGGAACGATTAAATAATCAGAATGCTAAGAATCATCGCAAAAGATGGGGATAATTTAGATAGCTGGGAACCAAGACCTTTTATGACCTCCATTTTGGAATCATTGGCTGCATTCCGTACTACTGTACAGCGATATTCGAAATCAGATATAATCGCCCCCTAAAGTCGGACTCCCAACGCTGCGCGGTTGTGGGTCCTCCCTAGTCTAATGAAATTTCAATCTAATGATAATTTTTACCCTACCTACCAATTTTTGATGCTATTTACAAATACCCCCCACGTCTATCAATAGTATAAAGTGGCTGGCCGTCATCTCCATTGACCCATCCAAGCTCTGCCTCTCTTCTCTGATTTTCCTGATCCCTAATTTCGCCCTAGCGGCAGATTTCAGTACACTTCTGTTCAGCCTCACGTTCCTACTTCCGTCTTTGTTTCTCGGCCTCCTAGATATCTTGCGACTATATGAGGGTATTCGAGTCCCTAACACTAAGAACACCCCCTTTACCTACCTAGCGCTTAGATTTGGGGGGCATTAGCCGCCTCCTAGTTAGTAAGGAGGCGTGACATATCGGCGGAGGTCTAGGTAGCAAATTCCGCTTGGGTAATGCTCCCTTCATAAATTACCTCTAAATAGCGCTAGATTTTCGCTAAATCAGGGGTAGCACTAGCTAAGAAGCTCTTCCTAACTTTAGAAATATTTTTTCGTAGTTTTGTAACCGTTGTTAGTAGAGAATTATGTCTGACCAAGTGGATCCTTGATTGGCCACTCATCACCTGACGCGGGATGTGGGAATGTGGTCAAAATCAACAAGATAGAAGATGTCTGACATTCTGAATATAATCGAGCTATCTCTTTAACAGTACAGAACGCATAGTAAGCGAAATGAGCGCACAATGCCAAGAAGGTCAAAAAAAACAAAAGTAGTTTAGTGTTGCATAACTTTTATGGATCCATCCTGGTATCCCGACAGAAACAATGAAAGAGTGTAGGTGGTGCACCAGTTTCGAGACGGACTGTAACGTTGAACTCAGCAATGATAAGTCTTTGAGGTGATTCACTTCCTTCTCCATGAAGCTGGTGGGACTTCTTGGATTCTAGTGACGGACGCGAGATATCCTATTGACGGTTCCTTATCGATCCCATCATCCTTTTCGCCCATGAGGCAAATGGATACAGTAGTTTTCGAAATCAGTTAACGTAATTCACTAGCGACCCTCCCATAAAAGCTATCCGTCTGTGCCAACGGTTGGCTGTCCCCTTATAGTCCTCAGTCAGAAGGATAGATCTATATTCTTGTTCAGTCCAATGTGACGAAGGAGTCGCGTCTCCCCCCAATCTGACTGCGCAGTTCCATATCGTCCCGCTACCAAGTCGATATTTAAACTCTCTCCTGACTACCTAACATAGGTTTCCAGGATCAGACATGTTAAAGGACAAGACCAAGGTAGATTGTGGGATGCAGTGGCGAGAATATTACAAGTATGCCCGGATTGATGGGTCAGCATAAAGCAATAGCTAAAAGCCAAATTTGAGCCTATTGCTGTTGGCATCAACTAAGTTTATTTCCACCAACTGAACGGTATTGGTTGAACATTCTGCTAGCGTCAGCTGCATCTGCTGTGTATTACAGTAGTTGGTACAGAGCACGAACCTAGACTCTGAACGTTGAACAGTCTTGTCCGAAATGCAATATTACCTGTTCAATTTTCGCTGAATCCTAGAGTTTAACCGTGATTTGCATGACACAATTTAGCGAGATGTGCCTGAACACGCCGTCAATGGTTTGCAGAATTTATGTTCTCGTTAAAATATATTTTGTTCAACATAAGCAGTGCTTCTCGTGGCAGGTGCGGTAAACTACAGCGGGTTGGGAAAATTCACGTGAGGTGGTCCGTGTTCAACTGGGCTGTTCACCCGACTCTCCATCCGTTGCTCTTCTGATAAACATTGATTTACTGCTACTTAGATACAGTTTATACCGGGTTATCCAATTTCGCTTCAGGTGAGCTGTTTGGATGGAGCTTGTTCTGTTTACCAGCGGCTGTATCCACTGTTCTTTTGTAAGACTGACGCTACAGATGTAAATTTCATCTCATTCGTCTAGACACGCCTACTGATCAGTAACAATGCTGTAGCAGTTGATACCACGCGAATCTAAGCAAGTTGAAAAAGGGAAGTTTACTTTTACATGCCACTGATTCCGTTAACCAGGATAGCAATAATGGGGTCATTGTAATTTTCCTGCACAGTGGGAGACTAAAAAATAACGCTGGTCAATTGCTTCCACCATGTCGAGGTATCAGTTGAACTATCATTGAACTTCATGTTCAACACGCTGCGCTTATGTCAATTGTAGCGCCTAGTAAGATCCGATCAAGTGAATCATGTGCATTTGGCTTGTTGTAGGCCAGAATTACATGCACTCGATTTTCATCAGATGAAGCTCAATCAATGTTGAACGGCTGGGATGAATCAAGCACGCCACTGAGGCCAATTCTGCTAGACCCCATTCATTCAAGGTACACTTGAGAAAAAAGAGTGCTATGAATTGACTGTCCACATCTCGCTGCCGTCATATCGGTGAATGGCTACTCGTAACAATTTACTTCTGCTAGAATCCAGGCAGGGTATTGGTAAGCTGTTGAACCGCATATTTCTCACCAAACCCAACGGGTGACAACTGTGTTGTTGTCAATTATGCGACCAAGAACTATGACGATAGTATACCAATTATTTCCTTCTTATCTGTGATTTCTATGACACTATTCTCCCTCTCCTACCCTCGGAAGCATATGCCAATTATATTTATTTGAATATAGACCTGACTGTACTTCACGCTAGGTCCTGGAATCTATTCTTGTCTGTACCACCATGCCATTTACCGGATGGTCCGATGAGGAAATTATCATCCTCGTTTATTATACATCCAGGGGCTTCAAGCCCTCAATTGTTGCTGAGATTCTCTCTCGACGGCAATTCTCGCGCAGTTTGGAGTCCATTGAAACCATGATATTGGAAATTGTGAACGATAATCCAACCCTCCAGGTAGAACCCGGCTTATGGGACAATCAATCTGTTGATCAGTGGATCGACGCCCTCTCTCTGGACCATCAGACAGTCAGTAGGCTGATTCAGTTCACGGAAGCCGACGCCAACATGGTTGAAGAGGTTTGATCTCGTAACTCCAGGTACATGAGCTCTGCTGACTGGATTGAAAAGTTTGAACCTCTTCATATCATACTGGAAAATTTAAATCTGCGACCTGAAGTACCCCGACACTGGAAGGGTTCACTTCTTGATGTTTAACTTGCTGTATTGGCCTTGATCCTACAGTATGATGCATTGTCTCGCAAATGCATTCCCTCACCATCTGCAGATGCAATTGCAGTATACTTACTGTAGCACGGGTGCGATCAACCATCTTTCGTACTATAGTATAGCATTTAAAACGGTGGCTTGGAGTGTGCGACCTGTCAGAGATAAAGTACCGTACGTATTTTACTGACAATTTTGAATATAATACAGTAAATAGCCTCAATGCTCAAGTTCTTTGTGTTTCTGAGATCGCATCTGTACAGAGTTTTGGGTGTTTTTTTTGTGGGGGGGGGGGGGGGGAAGTGCCGTGTTGACTATTCCGTTTTATAGAGAAGTAGACCTTCATAGAGGAGCAGTATTAAACGATGGAGATTTTAGAACGAGTTGATCTCCATTAGATTGTAGCTGAGAGGCAGCGAATGGGAGACCTTCTCAATTTTGGAGTGTATCCAGCAACTTCTTCTGCTTTTCTATTTAGCCGACCACATTCAAATCCTCCTATCCAATGACATTACAGTTTCACAAAAAAGGTTTGAAATGGCACTTCCATATTGTGATACTGTAATGCCAAGGTTCCTGCCGGTTTCATCTTCTGCGGCTGATAGTATTATAGTAAGTCTAGGGATTTTCAGTGCTAATTTTGTCTTGAATATGAAATTTCAGCGTTCGAACGGTATCCAAGTGATGTGCCATCCTCTGTCTTCAATTCTTCGTGATGTTGGATCAGAACACAGTAAGGGCAACAGAGAGACTCTATGCAGTCTCCACAGGCTGAGCCTTTTATGTTGGATGACCCCCTCATGTGGCCCCTTTGGATCATAAGTGGTACCCACTGGAGCCCACAAAGAGTAAGCGATGCAAATAGACAACACTAGGAATAGACCATGAGTATTATCCTAGACTCAACGTGAGGGTGATTTTGTGTTACGTCAGAATTGCAGCAGTTTTCTTTATGGCCTCGCTTTTTTCGACGCGCTGAAATCTTCCCGAATAGTCCGCATGGCAGACAACAGGCAAAACAACCTATAAGAAAGTCATTACTGGTCTTCTTAATTTGATGATAGCGGATGGGAAGACTCACAAATTGACTTAGAAGGACAGCAGCTCCAAAATGTATGTCTCCACTTTGATTCAGCGCTGGACATCGACATCCTAGTGCATGAGAGGTTGTTTTCAACTACTAAGTAAGGAATTGCGAAGATATGAAATCTGGACAGAGCGAGCGAAAGGCAGATTGAAATATCCCACTTTTCGATAACATGAACATATCGGCTACCGCTTCAGGTCAAAACAATTGAAGCCAGCCCTTTGCATCTGAACTGTACTATTTCGGGTACAACTCTCTTGTTCAACTCGAATTAAATTAACCTGACTTCCTGTAATAGATGTTATCGTAGTCCTCCTAAAAAGTGGTGACATCTATCAATTTTCATAACTTCAAGGCCGCTCGAAAACCTTGGCAGAGAATTCAAGTTCAAAGCGGAAATTAAAAGTTAGTTCGCCAATATACGAGCAGGTTCGTTCTCTTCAACAGTTGGTTGCCCTTGAGTTCAATATCATAGCCGTAGAACAGTATATACATATTTGATAGAAGTAAACGTTGAGCATCTATTATATTGTAGGAAAAATTTACGTTGTGAACGGTGAACCGCTTGCTCTTTCAAGTCTCTTTATGCTTAGAGGCTAACACACCCCCAGCGTTATGCAAGAATGTTCAACCATAGCATTTAGAAGCTGAATTAAGTTCTCATCCTGGACTTATCGTTTCCAGACCGCCTCTTTTCCTCATTCAATCTAATATAGTTGACTAGCAAGTAGTCTCTATTCTTACGGCTAAAATTAATATCATTTGTCTGTCACTTACCGTTCATTCTATCATCGGCTACTTGGTCGCCAAGTTATATCTCTATCTCTGGGCCGTTCAAACGCAATAGGTCTCCCTGTTTGAATATACTGAATTAAGCTTGGTTATTTTGCGCAAGGTGAATGACCGCACTTTCGAGGGGCGTGAACGTTTCGTAACAGTTCTATAAAATTCTATCTGCAGGCCATAATGTACTCGGCATTGAGGATTTATGCTGTCGATAAAAGTTACCTAGCTATGTTATGTTGAGTAAGTCTCGGCATTAGGGTTTGGGAAACAGTAAGACTGGGGCAAACCGATTTCGCAATATTATCAAGGAAGGAACTGGATAACAGCAGGAACCTTATTATACTCATGAAATAGGAAGGTCATTCTAAAACCATTCATCAAAATTGCAATACCAGTGCGCTGAGGGTCTTGGATACAATACGGTCCATTTCATTGAAAGCCTGAACAATCGCGTTGTGTATTTTCCTCTGCTGTCTATGACCGGGTGTCCTGCTGCCGAGTTCATCTCGGTGGCGTTTTGGAGACATTCTTTCGTTCATCAGTAGAGTATCAGTACTGCAACACTGCAGTTGGATCACATTGCCTGGACGTGTTCAACTCTGTGGCGTGTTAGACTTATCCCTAGTGTTGAACATTAATTAGCGACATTGCGACGCCGCAAGTGGACCACATCAATCTAGTCGAGTTCTCCTGAGCCGTGTTGGCTATATCCCTGCCGTTGAATAATAACTATCTGTACCGCAACGCTGCATTTGGATCACACGAGTCAAGCTGTGTGGACCTCCGTGGAATTTTACATTCACCTCTGCTGTTCACCAGTGACTCTAGGTACTGCAGCAATGTAACTCTGTAACTCACTACCATACTCTCATCTACCTACCCTTAATTTCTGCATTAGAAGAACTGTTTTGGACAACATGGGCTACATCTACTCTCGCAGAGCTGTACACAGAAACATGGGCATTACGTATTGAATATTACGGTATACGGAGTTAGATGTGATGTGAGTCTAGTCATTATAAGCTCAACGTCTTCTTCAATAGAGTCAGTGGTATTTAAAGTTGGTAGTCAATAGGGAGACAGCCCAACAGCATCAAGCAGCGTCATATAATTTGATCTGTCTTACAGTATAGTTGCGGTAGCCTGCATATCGCTCCGGCGAGAGGTCAGGGTAAATGAAATCTACCTACCTACCTACCTGCTGTACTGTGTACCAGAATACTCGCTCCGACAAATAGCAATGTGACCAGCCTGATTAGCGGTGCCTGAGGCGACTATAACTGGCACGTGATACGGGTTCTGTAGATAGCAGGGACTCTCTTTGTTTCTTTTCCTTCTTCTTCTTCTTCTTTCCCTTCTCTAACTTGGAAGTCCTGTCGTCCATAGCACCCAAATGGAATACCTTCATCGTTTTTTCTTCCGATCTGGCTGCCCGGACACAAGCAAATCTGGATTGCTAACTGTCCCAATAATAACTAGTTAGCAAATTTTAGTTCTCCCGTTTTATACATTCTACCGCAATATGACTACACTCGTAGAACAGTATATAAGGCGAGGTTTCGAAGGCAATAATTTAGAACAGAGGTAGACCTGAATATTGTGCATTACAGTATTATATTTTCGGCACTTTTTGAAATATTTCAAGCATAATTACATTGAAATCCTCCGCTACAAAAGAATAAACGCTGGAGGATATATATCCATGATCGCACAGCCTTACAGTGGTCTGAGACAGTTGATTGCTTCACATAGCCAGTAGTCTTATGCTGGCATTTCAAGTATCGTTTCTAATATGATCTGCCTGGCAGCACAATTTGGCCGAGAACAAATTCCTTCTCGTGGGAATTTTAATGGGTCACGTTGATTCCAATATGTTGGGGAACGATGGCGGTGGCATTTAGAGCATCGTAAAAAGCACTCACTTCGTTGGAGTGGAAACTGTGACTGGTACGATGGTGGATTTGTGGTTGACCCCGCGTAGGAATAGGAAGAAGGGTCGTTACTAGGTCTCTGGGTTTGCTCAAGAGCAATTTGCGGGTAACCTTGGTGAATCATCCTCGATTTGCTAAACAAAAATCAGCAATAGTACTAGTCGTCATAACTGAGAAAAATATGTTTACTTAGCGCATATCCACGTCCATACGCCCAAATACCAATGCATCTGCTTAAGGGGTTTCTGGATGACAGAATATTATGAAGAGAAAAGCATTGATAGCCTATTTGGATACCAATAAATACTCTATCACTGACGTCCCCGTTGGTATAGAGGCGCCCGTTATTGCCTTCCATATCGGAAACACATAGATGCTCTTTGAAACCCTAAACACATGGTGCCCTAATCCAGATGTGGTTATAGCGTAAATAACGAGTTTTGTGAATACAGTGTAACAATACCAGTCCCTTTATGATACCAGTATGAAAGATTCAAGGTCCAAGAATAGAAGTCTGGAACTTCCAGAAGATTCCATGCGAATCTAGCGAACAAAGGCAGCGCTTGAGCTGGCAATTTGTCAACTAATTTTCTTCTGCATTTCGCAGTTGCTTCGCTGCAGAGAGGCTTGTGCTTCCCCGGGAGATACATCCGGGGCCAGCTGGATAGACAAGGGTAGACAGTAAGCCATCTTTCCGTAATCTCCACCATGCTCGCAGTTTTGGGTCATATTTCCACTTATATTATATGATGTCATGTATTTAAAGTGTGCGGCCGATCCTTGGTACATCGCGTTACATAACCCCTTCCATGAACAACGCTAATCTTTCCGCTGGCAAGTCGCAAATAGACCACTCGGAGGCTACTGTTACTGGTTGATTCGTCTAATAACCGCGGGCGGTAGAAAATGGTACTTGGCCATGATTTCAGACTCCTGAACGCCACTATAACTAGTATGACTTTTATAGACTGGTGGAATATTAACCATAGCATTCCACGAGCATAATGAAGCCGTATAAATTGTCACCTTCGCCCAGGCCCTTCTTTTACAAAGATATTAGGAAATAGAGAAAGGACATTGGACTGAAAACGAAAATTATTGACACCTTCTATACACGAAATCCTATAAAAGAAACTCGCCCTGATGCATGTCCTATGGCAAGTACCCTACCGTGAATCGCCGAACAGCTAGGCCGAGACCCAGGGGGAAGCCATAGTACCCTGTCACCTTTCATTATTACCCACTGTCTCTGCTCGATAAAGATCTCCAGATTCACATGAGGTGTACCAGTATAACACTTAGGTTGAATCTCGAGTGAACCCAAGTTCATCCAGAGATACGAACCAGTCGGAGAAAATTTAAAAAAGGCGGGAATCCCTCCGACACTCAAAGTCTGTTGCAGGGCACCTGTCGCAGTCTCCCAGAGCCGCACTGTCTTATCGCCAGAGCCAGACGCAAGCATCCGGCCGTCGGGCGAGAAGGCCACCGAACGAACCGACCCTGAATGGCCCTTGAGAGTCTGTTGCAGGGCGCCCGTCGCAGTGTCCCAGAGCCGCACTGTCTCATCGCCAGAGCCAGACGCAAGCATCCGGCCGTCGGGCGAGAAGGCGACCGAATAGCCCTTGAGAGTCTGTTGCAGGGCGCCCGTCGCAGCGTCCCAGAGCCGCACTGTCTCATCGAAGCAGCTAGACGCCAGCATCCGGCCGTCGGGCGAGAAGGCGACCGACGAAACCATGTGTGAATGGCCCCTGAGAGTCTGTTGTAGGGCACCGGTCGCAGCGTCCCAGAGTCGCACTGTCTGATCGCTACAGCCAGCAGACGCCAGTATCCGGCCGTCGGGCGAGAAGGCGACCGAATAAACCACATCTGAATGGCCCTCGAGAGTCTGTTGTAGGGCGCCCGTCGCAGCGTCCCAGAGCCGCACTGTCTTATCGCCAGAGCCAGACGCCAGTATCCAGCCGTCGGGCGAGAAGGCGACCGAACTAACCGACCCTGAATGGCCCTCGAGAGTCTGTTGCAGGGCGCCCGTCGCAGCGTCCCAGAGCCGCACTGTCTCATCGCCAGAGCCAGCAGACGCCAGTATCCGGCCGTCGGGCGAGAAGGCGACCGAACGAACCGACCCTGAATGGCCCTTAAGAGTCTGTTGTAGGGCGCCCGTCGCAGCGTCCCAGAGCCGCACTGTCTCATCGTAGGAGCTAGAGTCAGACGCTAGCACCCGGCCGTCGGGCGAGAAGGCGACTGAACCAACCGACCCTGAATGGCCCTCGAGAGTCTGTTGCAGGGCGCCCGTCGCAGTGTCCCAGAGCCACACTGTCTGATCGTCAGACCCAGACGCCAGCATCCGGCCGTCGGGCGAGAAGGCGACCGAACGAACCGACCCTAAATGGCCCTTAAGAGTCTGTTGCAGGGCGCCCGTCGCAGTGTCCCAGAGCCGCACTGTCTTATCGGAAGAGCCAGACGCAAGCATCCGGCCGTCGGGCGAGAAGGCCACCGAAGAAACCGACCCTGAATCGCCCTTGAGAGTTTGTTGCAGGGCGCCCGTCGCAGCGTCCCAGAGCCGCACTGGCTCAATGTGGAAGCCAGGGTTAGACGCCAGCATCCGGCCGTCGGGCGAGAAGGCGACCGAATGGTCCCCGAGAGTCTGTTGTAGGGCGCCCGTCGCAGTGTCCCAGAGCCGCACCGTGATATCGTCAGAGTTAGACGCCAGCATCCGGCCGTCGGGCGAGAAGGCCACCGAATAAACCAACCCTAAATGGCCCTTGAGAGTCTGTTGTAGGGCGCCCGTCGCAGTGTCCCAGAGCCGCACTGTGTTATCGTCAGACCCAGACGCCAGCATCCGGCCGTCGGGCGAGAAGGCCACCGAATAAACCCACCCTGAATGGCCCTCGAGAGTCTGTTGCAGGGCGCCCGTCGCAGCGTCCCAGAGCTGTACTATCTTATAGTGAAAGCCAGAGTCAGACGCCAGCATCCGGCCGTCGGGCGAGAAGGCGACCGAATAACCCTTGAGAGTCTGTTGCAGTGCGCCCGTCGCAGTGTCCCAGAGCCGCACTGTCTTATAGTGGAGGCCAGAGTCAGACGCCAGCATCCGGCCGTCGGGCGAGAAGGCGACCGAATGGCCCTTGAGAGTCTGTTGTAGGGCGCCCGTCGCAGTGTCCCAGAGCCGCACTGTGTTATCGTCAGACCCAGACGCCAGCATCCGGCCGTCGGGCGAGAAGGCGACCGAACGAACCAACCCTGAATGGCCCTTGAGAGTCTGTTGCAGGGCGCCCGTCGCAGCGTCCCAGAGCTGCACTGTCTCATCGTCAGAGCCAGACGCCAGCATCCGGCCGTCGGGCGAGAAGGCCACCGAATAAACTAACCCTGAATGGCCCTCGAGAGTCTGTTGTAGGGCGCCCGTCGCAGTGTCCCAGAGCCGCACTGTCTTATCGGAAGAGCCAGACGCCAGCATCCGGCCGTCGGGCGAGAAGGCGACCGAATGGCCCTCGAGAGTCTGTTGCAGGGCGCCCGTCGCAGTGTCCCAGAGCCGCACTGTGTTATCGTTAGACCTAGACGCCAGCATCCGGCCGTCGGGCGAGAAGGCGACCGAATAAACCAACCCTGAATGGCCCTCGAGAGTCTCTTCCAGGGCGCCCGTCGCAGTGTCCCAGAGCCGCACTGTCTTATCGGAAGAGCCAGACGCCAGCATCCGGCCGTCGGGCGAGAAGGCCACCGAATAAACCCACCCTGAATGGCCCTCGAGAGTCTGTTGCAGGGCGCCCGTCGTAGCGTCCCAGAGCTGCACTGTCTCATCGTCAGACCCAGACGCCAGCATCCGGCCGTCGGGCGAGAAGGCCACCGAATAAACCGACCCTGAATGGCCCTCGAGAGTCTGTTGCAGGGCGCCCGTCGTAGCGTCCCAGAGCCGCACTATCTCATCGTCAGACCCAGACGCAAGCATCCGGCCGTCGGGCGAGAAGGCGACCAAATGGCCCTTAAGAGTCTGTTGCAGGGCGCCCGTCGCAGCGTCCCAGAGCTGCACTGTCTCATCGTCAAAGCCAGACGCCAGCATCCGGCCGTCGGGCGAGAAGGCGACCAAATGGCCCTCGAGAGTCTGTTGCAGGGCGCCCGTCGCAGTGTCCCAGAGCCGCACTGTCTTATCGTCAGACCCAGACGCCAGCATCTGGCCGTCGGGCGAAAAGGCCACCGAATAAACCGACCCTGAATGGCCCTCGAGAGTCTGCAACTCTGCACTCCATCTTTCCTCAACTTGTGGCAGCTGGCATGCCCAAGTAGGGAGTTCTGTTTTGAACTCTCTACGAATTATTGACGTATGCGGTGCAAATATCAGCCCTGAGCAATAAAGCTGGAGAGGCGCATCATCGGCTATCTGGCGATTTTTAAGAATAAAGCGTTTTGCATCATGCAGAAAATCAGACACTGCGGAATGGTGGTCGCCCTATATCTATTAGTACATGAATATATCTGTATGGTTATAGAAGTGACTTACATCAACTAGGCCCTGTAACTCGTCTATTAGGCTGATGCTCTCCGATATCCTCTCCATGAAGCTCAAGGCTTCAAGCCAGTGAAGGAAGTGGCTCTGAAGGAATTGGAGCGCTTGGTGTTCATCATGAAGCGTAACTCCGCTACCCTTCAAGTGATGCACCCAGTAAAGGCACGCATATCGAGCTTCTGATGGCAGGCACCGGTCAATCGTTTGCTGGTCGACGATAGTACGAGGTTTCCCAGGTGCTCTTAGTCCACAGATGTCATTTTTTAGATAGCCACCTTCGGAGAGCAGCCGAAGACATCTGTCTGCAAGCATCTTGTGAGTGGCCTTCTCATCAACCCGGAATTCATTTGCGCCACCCTGAGGGTTGATGAGGTAATCTCGAAACGACTGATGAAAGAGTCGAATAGGAACTGTTCTATCGTCTGGGATGAGGAGAACCGAGTGAAGGTAATCTAGAAGCCTGTCAAGGTCGTCTGTTGACTTTTCCAGAAGTCGTTCAAGAGACGTGGCTGAGAGAGGGTCGGCAATTGTGATGATTGACCCTACAATTTCTTTGAAATCCTCTATCAACTCTTCATCCGCTTGTCTGTCAAGACCAAGCATCTGGTCCATGACGGGACGGTAGGTTGCGTCGTAGCTTTGACCGTCAGTTTGGCATTTAAGAAATTTTTCCAGCCGCTCATTAGGTCCACCGCGGCGCCGCCTTTCGCCGATAAACCGACACGCGGTTACGGCGGAGATGAATAGTGGCACGGTTTGCTTCGCGAGATCTTGCAATTTCGCTGGATCGGGCCAACCTTTGGGCATATTGAGTGTGTCCCGGATTTGTTCTAGCCGAAACTTCAAAAAGGCTTCGATGTCTCGCTTGATCTGGGGAATCGGGATCTCGTGGAGAGGAAACTCTATATAATTGCCGTGGAAATCGTGCAAAGCAAGCCGAATTGGAGGCTCAAACCTGCTTGTGACGAAGAACTTCAAGGGGGCTACTACTGGACGATCCTTCTGCAGTAGTAACTTGATAACCGCCGCGACGTCCTGGCCTCCCTCGCATTCATCGAGAGCATCGATCACGACCGTCATGGCCCTAGAAACACTATGTGGGACGGCCTCTACTGGCTCCAGGATGAGTTTTCTGAACTGATCTCCCAGCGCCCTTTCGGCGATATTAGGGTCAGCTTCAATGGCGTTTCGCACATACTCAGCCACTACAGGCAGACACTGGACGAGTTGGACAGCAATAGTCGTGAAGAAGAGCCGGGCGGTACCGCGATCGGATTCACCCCTCTTAAAGAAGAAGCTGGCCGCGAGACGATCCTGGGCGGCAAGGTCACGGGCCACGGTACGAGCAATTGTTGACTTGCCGGTGCCGGCCTTCCCTTGAAGCCAGTATATATGCTCGCGAGTCATTGGGCCGTCAGCCCATTGGTTGATCTCCTCGAGCAGCTCATGGCGCGTGTTTTCGAGACAAGTCGCGACGTGTTCGTTCGCATGGGAGTTGAACGCGGCGCCTTCCACAGTGCGTAGTTTGCCGACGACAAACTTCTGGTTGCCGTTCAGTGTCGGGGTGGTAGTTCTGTCTCGGTTAGCTAGCGTGTCTATAAATAGAGTGTGCTGACGTACGGCCTAAGCCTATGCAGCTGTCGATGGAGCTCTGTATATAACCGATCATTCCGATTCCCGCACTTATTCAGTCCAGAGTGGTCCGTATCGATAAAGACAGTTAATGCAGCATGGCCGCCTCGGGCCGAGTCCGTGGGGACAATCTACGGGATATCAGAAAGATTCCACACGAGGACAGTAGCACCTACCAGGCCGGCAGATAGCCATCCCAGCACGCGTGTGGGCTTTGTTTCGCAGAAAGCTACGATCTCGGTCTTCTGTCGTCGACTCTCTTTCTCCTTCATACACTGAACAAAACGTAAGTCTAAGTCGGAGAGTTGTTCCCGATAACTCGTCAGAGAGAGGAGCAGGCTAGTGCTGGACCCTAAAAGGCCGGTCACACGGGCGGCAGCTGCCCCCAGACGCGATACAGGTGACCCTTGGTGAGGGGTCCCGAGGAAAACGATGCCGCAAGTGCTGTCGACGACGTCTAGCGCGGCGTCCTTGGGATTGCACAAGGCCTGCAGAAGGTTTAGGTCTGCATGTAGGGGAACGGTGTCGCGGCATACCTCTTTTATGATGATGCCCCCGAAACTGTGGCCGATGAAGACGATCGGAACGCACTGTTGCCTCTGTTAGCCGTGTTGTCTTCGGATTTTGCAGTCCTCACCTGATGTTGTAACCGATGCTTCACCAACTCTTTCAGCAATCGGTCGCCGATCTGCTGCGCTGACTTGACCGGGGCATCGATCAACCAGTCGGAGTTGTGGGCAAAAGCCAGGATCCTTGCGTTCAGGAAGTCATTTTTTAAAAGATCTCTCAGCAGGTGGACGCGCTTTCCATCTTCCGAGTCGGTCGCACTCGAAGGGGCACTTGTCCAGGTGTATTCCGGATGTGCCCCAAGGCCGTGGACGGCGACGATCCTATAGCCATTAGCGCGAACGTCGCAGTGGGCATGGCGGCTCTTACTCGAAAACGACATGCTCAGGCTCGGAAACAATATAAAGACCATCGGGCCGGTCCGTCCTTTCACGACGACGAATCTTACCAACGATAGGGTACGAGAGAAGGGAACCTAGAAGCACGACCAAGGTAACCCACAACGCTAGGCCGTCCATGGCGTACGCCTTGGACGCTGGTCTCCGCTCAACGCCGGGGTTACCCAGAGCAACAGTTTTGGAAGAATCACACTGCGGACGTCGCTTGATCTTAATAGATTCTGACCCAAGTTCGAAGACGTGCCAACACGTGGGATTCTTCCATTCCGTAGACGTGAGGCATCAATTTGGGAGCAGGCCTCAGCCTCGCCGACTCAGCACTTAGCCGCTAGCCTGACCCACTATCGTATCCCAATGACCATGCAGGAGGCGCGCCACGGCGGGAAGTGCGGGACGCAAACATCGCACTTGGACCCCCTCAATTTACCAATGGCAAATATACATATCGATGCGAGACGAGCGACAACTCGACGGACCCTAGACAAATGAGCCGGCGAGATGTCGGACGACGATGAAAACCGCGTCCATGAGGAAGAGCAACGAGGCCGCGTCCGTTTATCCTGCCATAATGGCACCAAACAGTGTGAGCTAACAGCTTCGCGCAGACATGCCCCTTCCTCGTCGAACCGTTGAACCGTGACGGCACGTCCACACCCAAAGACTACCCGCTCCGCCCGCTCTTCCCAGCGTCCTACCGCACCGCGTCGGATGATTTGGCTGCTTCCACCAGAGACATCGCGGCCTGTGTTCAGAGGGAATTCGACTTGTACAGGCTCCAGATCATCTTCAGCTGGCTGTGGATCGTCGGTCGGCCGATGCCGCCCCGTCCGCTGCACCATCAGCTCTTCCTCTCGCGGGACATATTCATCACGGAGCGAATGGACATGCATCTCGTCTGGACCGCCGGCCGCATATTCATCAAACCAATTCCGCGCTTCCTCCTGGTGCCGCGCTTCTGGTCCGACCACCTCTCCTGTCTGCCCGGTTGCGCCTGCGCTTGCGTGCTAGCTAACTCGGCTGGATATACGCCTGTGGGCGATGGTATATGCGACCGTAGGACGCTGTGGAAGTCAGCACTCGGGTTCCTGTTCTCCTATGCCGCCCTGGTCTCGCATGAGAGCGACTTCGTGATCGCCCGAGATAAACAATTGATACCCACGGAGGTAACTTGGTCGGACTGGACGATCCTTGTTGAGCAGGTCCTCGCTACGGATCATATATACCATAACATCCACGCGCGATTCATCTACGGTGAGCTCCGTCTGAGTCGGCTCAACAAGATATACTGTCTCACCCAGCCACCGTTCCTGCGCGGTTACATATCGCAGTGGCATCGATACAGCGACTTCTTCCAAGACAACCTCGCCTGGCTGGCGGCTGCTACGGTCTATATCGTCGTCGTCCTGACCGCCATGCAGGTTGGCCTGGCGACTAACTCCCTCGCTGGAAACCACGTCTTCCAATCGGCGTCCTATGGATTCGTAATATTCTCCATTCTTGGCCCTCTCGTCGCCCTTGGCCTCATCGTCCTTGAGTTCTGCTGTATATTTTTTAATAACTGGATCACTTCAGTGGCGTACGAAAAAACAAGGTTCCAGACCATCCAGGCAGCGCAGGGAGCATAATAGAGCCCAGCTCCTCCAGGCAAAAGCCTGCGAGGGTGAACAACGAACATGGCGCCGACGTGTGGTGAGATGATCGCAATAAGCTCCAGTCGTCTACGTAATTTCGTACGATTATGCTTCATCTGGGAGGTGACCATGTCCTGTGTTGGAGCACTTGTAAGACGAAACGAGTGTTGTATTGTAAAAGTAGTGGAGCAACTAAATTAAATACAGACGGAGCGATCATGTGATCGCACGTGAGCCGTAAGAGCGCTGTAAGGAGATTCCTGATCTCACACACTACCCTCACACTGGTCACGTGATACAGGGTCCAACCTTCCTTAGTCAGCTCATAGTTAGGTGAGTTGGACTGCCCCCAGGGCCCCTTTCAATGACACACACATACACCAATGTGAGATCGGGAATCTCCTTACAGAGCTCTTACGGCTCACGTGCGATCACATGATCGCCCCGTCTGTATTTAATTTAGTTGCTCCACTACTTTTACAATATGTCAGGGTAAATCTCCACATGGTAATTTACAATGTGATCCATCTGCTGCATCCAGCGCTTACTCAGCTGATTTCACTGTCTATTATGGAAACTGGCGCCCAAGGTGGAAATTACACGTCTATTTCCCTTCCGACAATTATCCGTCTATTTCCCGTCTGACTGCCCTATAAATACGGCCATGATAGATAGTCTGAATAGCATCGATTTCATCAATTGTCCAATGACATAATCTGGTAGAATTACTAGTGTATACGCCCATCAGACATACCAACACAATACAACACTCGTTTCGTCTTACACCAACATGTTGTTGTTATCATGTGACATGCTGATAATGAGGTCCGAGGATAGAAGTCTGGAACTTCCAGAAGGTTCCTTGCAAATCCAACAAACATAGGCAGCGCTTGAACTGGCAATCTGTCAACAATTCTCCTCCTGCATCTCGCAGTTGCTTCACTGCAGAGTTTCGTCCTTCCCTGGGGGTCCATCCGGGGTACAGGTTAGATAGGCAAGGCTCGACAGTAAGCCATCTTTCCGTAATCTCAGCCATGCTGATCATCATGCAGCAGTTTTGAGTCTTACTGGATGTCAGATTCCTGGCTAACCCCTTTCAGCTCGTTTTGCTTAGGCTTCCCGTTACGCGCAGACATCCACGATGACCGATAGCCTTTACGGTGACGATGCCTATCCACCCCGGACGGTCGACCATTGGGGAGAGAATTCACAATATGCCCCCACCCCCGGTAACTTTCGTCGCACACCCGCCACCTCGTACTCTCCTAGCCCCGGATTGTGCCACGGACCAGTTAGATCACCTCAAATTTCTGCCATTGGTTGAATGGGAAGAAGGTGGCGAATACGATGAGCAGCCTCCTAGATATATTTGCTACAAATTGCCTGGAAGCTTATACTTAACCGCAAGACGGTAGATAGAGTGACCGAAGGAGACTTGGTAATAGCTCCCAGTGATTACTGGGGGACATTGAAAGCTGATGTTGAAGAAATGCTGCAAACGAAAAAGAAGCGTCACCAGCGAGTTCTATCTGAAGGCACGGCCGTTACTATATCAGTGAACGACCGGTCTCAGAGAAATCTCGAAAAATTTTATAATTCCACTAATATCAACTGGAAACCAGTTGAGAAACAGCTTCGTAAATGGAGCAACTTGCTTCGTATTGGCAGGAAGCTCACAATCGACGTTGCCTTCAACTATCGGGAGGACGATGATGGTCATACCATGCCTTCTTCAAGAAGAGTCGAAAAGAGAGGGCGTGTTTCAGCAACCAGCCGGATGTTGGCTGAGTGTAAGGCACACATTGATGCGGAAGAAGAGACTACTAGACGACCTTCAACTTGGAGTCTTGTGTATGACCGTACGCGATGTGGTATCCGCTCATGCCCCTTAAAGTCTGATTAGTGCTAGGAGGACCCGCAGGACAAGAAACTGTCGCTCAGAATCTGGGCAAAATAACCGCTAGACCAAAAATGCACCATGTGCGCAATTCTTAGTCTATACCCGCCCCCTAGTAGTCGGGCCCTCACCGCTCTCCGTTGGTGAGGGCCCTCCACAGTCTAATGGAAAGTCAGTCTAATGGAAATATTATTCTACCCACCAACTTCCTCCTACTATTCCCAACCACCACGATGTCCAAATTTAACCCTGAAATAGAGCAAAGAATTGCTGATGCATTGAGCGCGTACCATGATCGTGACGAGCCAAAAATCGCACAACTGGCCCGGGAATTTGACATTCCCTACAAGCAGTTGTGGGGGCGCGTTCAGGGCCGCCAATCTCGTTCGGCTCGTACAGGACCAAATAGAGCACTTGATGAGGGCCAAGAGCAGGCATTAATTGCCTGGATGCGAGTACTTGACCGTGCCAATCTCTCACCTCTTCCGTACGAGATTGAGGGCGCTGCAAATGACATCTTGACGCGAGGTGGTTCCGACCGACGCGTCAGCAAAAGTTGGGTACATCGCTTTATGAAACGCCTCCCTGAAACCTTCAAATTTCAGACTCAAAAAACTATGGAAGCGAAGAGGCTAGATGCAGAGAGGTTACCAACAATAATTGAGTGGTTTCACAAATTGGAGGGCGAGATCAAAGCCCTCCAAGTCGGACCACGCAATATCTACAATATTGACGAAACTGGCTTCCAACTCGGCCAAGGAAAATCCCAGAAAGTTGTGACTGAGTTTCCGGATAGGACAAAGCATATTCCAACAGGTGGTATAGGGGAGACAGTGACAGCAATCGAATGCATCGCAGCAGACGGTTGGATAATGCCTCCAATGATCCTATTTGCTGGCACAGTTCATCTTGAGAATTGGTATCGAGACCAGCCAGATTTACCTGATGACTATATAATTGCGACGTCGCCAACAGGCTGGAATAATGAGGTAAGTACTTATTTATTTAGTTGGCTTATTATTTAGTAGATTTATTTATTAATTAGTTATTTATTTGATATAGGTCCGCGCATATCAATGGTTGCAATATTTTGATGAGCATACAAAACCACGACTTCTACATCGTACAGACTATCGATTATTATTTGTTGATGGCCATGAGTCCCATAAGAAGCTCGATTTCATCAATTATTGCCAACAGAATCGGATACTTCTATACTGTTTCCCTTCCAAACTTACCCACCGTCTTCAACCTCTCGATTCTCAGCCCTTCCAGGCGTATAAGCACTATTATCGGAGGGAGAATAATAAGACTAAACGATGGGGTCGGTCAGTCACAGAGAAGAGGGACTTTCTTCGTCAAATCCATAAGGTTCGCATACAAACTTTTACGCCTTCAACTATCCGGCATGCATTTAAGCACTGCGGGCTTTGGCCCCTTGATTCTGAGGTTATTTGCAAAGACCTTCGACCAGACGAAGGGCCAGATCTAGTCGTCTATGATAGAGGCAAGGAATACGAGCTTCCAGAGTGGGATTTCAACCATAGCCGCCCAGTCGAGGGGGAAGATAATCGACAAGAAACTCCACCAGCATCAAGTTCAACCATCAATTCGCCACCAAAAACTGTCCAAAAATTACAAAAAAATATTGCAAGGGCAAGAGAGAGCTTCCCAGACAATAACAGCCCTGAAATAAATAAATTGAAGCGTCAGGTTGAGTGGATTTGGGAGGGAAGTCTTCAACAGGCCCATTTAGCGGCCCAGGTGTCAGCCGATCTCATTCGCCTCCAGGAGAACCAGGAGCAGGCCAATGCCAAAAAGTCTAAGCGCCAGTCATCTAAAGGGGGTGCTCTACGAGTCAGGGACTCGAATACCCTCATTCGAAATAGGGATATCGTGGAGGCTGAAAAACAAAGGCGGAAGTATGAACGTGAAGCAAAATAGAAGCGCGACGAATGGGCTCACCAAGCCCAAATCAGGGAGCAGGAAAACCAGAGAAGAGAGGCAGAGCTTGAATGGGTCAATGGAGACGACGGTCAGCCACTTTATACTAGCGATAGACGTGGGGGTTATATGTAAATAGCTTCAATTCTTGGAAGGGGGGTGCAATATTTCCATTAGACTGACTTTCCATTAGACTGTGGAGGGCCCTCACCAACGGAGAGCGGTGAGGGCCCGACTACTAGGGGGCGGGTACTGTCATTTTCCATCTTGACACGCCCCCCCAGGGAGCATCCAAAACAGCTATGTTTGGGGGGTTCCTGAGACTTTCAAAAGGTGGGAAGTGAACGGGGCTGCTTTCTCTGGTCTTGTTCATAATCTGTCCCTAGCTGCCGCTGGTCATAATATAGGCGATGCCAAATTGGGCTATCCCTCCGCGACCTTGTTTGCTGGCTCTTGGGCTCGAACGTCCGACCTGCAATGCCATCCGTAACAAAAGCGATCCGGGCTCATAACTGTTGGAATGCGAAATATGCGTATGCACTAGTAATCCTACCAGGTAGTCTGATTTGACAAATGATGAGAACGATGGTATTCAGTCTATCTATCCTGTCTGGTTTTTATCGGTACAGAGAAGCGAGAAAACTCTGCATTGTGGGAATTGCACCCACGGTTTCCATGATGGAAGATCAGGTGATCAGGATGCGGCAGATGGACCAGCTAGTAAATTACTAGTGGAGAGTTTACCCTGACAGAAACACTACAAACTGAGGGCCCCACATCTAGAACGACTCATTGACTATGTCGATGGCGGTGAGAGCCTAGAAGGTCATGATGATGTCCCCGGTGATATCCGTCGAGACCTAATCCTGGAAAGCCAGACAGGAAGAAAGTCGACAAAGGCTGACGCGTCAACAACCGGACTACCGAGCCCCTCAACCATTATCAATGTTCTACTAGCACAAAACGGGAGTGCGTCCACGGTTACTTCGTCCCTATCCAGGCCTCCATCTGACGAGCGTCTCGTAATTTTTGGGCCTCGTGAAGTAGCTGTGAGAGAATACTGCAAATGGTTAGAATCGTGCGCCACCGACGAGGCTTACAAAGCCGATTTCCGGAGAATTTGCCAGGTGGCTCTGGAAAATCACCTAGATCTTGAACTGATCCTCGAGGACCCAGACCCTGGCTTCTTCGTTCAGCGAGGGATCCGGATTGGAACTGCTCGTCGCTTCCTACGTACCATAAACGGATGGGCCACTGCGACGAAATTAAACACGCGACTTGACCAGACCGCTGACTAAATTCTCAACGATGTCGCTTTTTCTACCCCAAGTGCGGCAGGCCGCACTGAGGGTTTGCTAAGCTTATTATATTTCTTGTGCGTTGGAGAGCCGCATATTGGCTTTGTTCCCTAATATGTCTTGGCGTTTAGATTGTTGGGTTTGTTCTCGTTATATTTCCTCTACGTTTCAAGGGGATAGACTCATTCTTTCGAGTCTTCAATCTAAGCATTTTGTGGCCAATATATGATCTGTGATTATCTATGCTGGTGTCGGGAAAGCATTGGAGCAAGGGGTGTCCTCCATCGTTACGCCGGCATGTCGGAAATGGCCTTCCGCACTCTCCTGCTTTGCACCAACCTCATGAACGCACCGCCGGAGGAAGGTATGAAACCCTTGATCAGGGTTCTCTTCATACACCGACCAAGCTTTCTTGATGTAAGCCTTTAGCTCGGCAAAGAACTCCTCGATGGAGTTGAAATCCGGAGAGTAAGGTGGCAAGTACAGTAATTTGACTCCCGCGTCAGAACACAACTGCTTGACTCGGTCCGAATGATGGAAAGATGCGTTGTCCATAACAAGCACGGATTTTGCTCCGGCCACCTCCCACAGTGCTAGAGAAGCTGCTCGATAAACGATTCGAAGAACGCAGCATCAGTTGAACCCTTGAAAATACGAGACAATATGATACCGTCTTGTGCATATGCTGGCAGGATCTGGTAGCGTTGGCCCCGATGAAATTTAGATACTTGGACGGGTGTCACGCTGAGTGGTGACCAACCAGTCCGCCTATATCCCACCCGTTTATCACATCCGGATTCATCAACAAAAACCAGTTGATACGAACGAAACTCGGACAGTTTATGCTGGTAGAAATCTCGTAGTTGCGGGTTCTGTTCTCTTGCTTTCTGCTGGGCTTTCTTTTTTGTCCAGCCAGCTCGGGAAAGAGCACGTTTGACGCTGGACGAGGACGGTAATATGTTAAACTCAAAGATAGCCATCTCGACATAAAGGCTGGGCTTTTCAGCGAGGTGGTCACAAAGTGCGTCGAGCATCACAGGAGTGAGGTTTGGTGGTCGGCCGGCGGGGATTGAGGGAGATCTGGGACTGCCGAACAACCGCAAGTTCTTGCGTATATTAGTGACAGAACGCTCACTACACTTCGCGACCTCGGCCATTTGAGATGTGGTGAGCCTGTGCTTGCTGTGTATCATATGGACAATGATTTCACGCTGCCAGGGATCGAGGTGTCGTGCCTTTTTTTTTGTTTTTGGGGGGGGGGGGTTTGAGATATTGGTGCTTGAGTCAGCACACTTGATTTGGGACGCGTGAGTTAATGGCGAGCGTGTTTTATTTTTGGAGCTGTAAAAGCACACAACCATACAGCTTAATCAGCTTTGTACGGGTTTAGTATTATACCATTCAGCGCCGGAACAGATCTTCAAATACGAGAGTAGCCATATTGAGTTTAGCGTAACATGTGATTGGGGTTTGAAAGAGCCTCTCTATGTCCCCCGACATGGAAGGCGATAACGGTCGCGACTGTAACTTCAATATCATTGATGACCTTCGTTGCATTTATTGCATGAAGAATGAGGTGAATAGCACTTCATGCATTGGCCTGATAGTAAAAAATAATCCGTAAAAATGGAAATTGGTCAACCGGTGCGACGATACTGTGAAAAGATGTCAACGCTGCCCGAATTGAGAGAGCAAAAGAATTCAAATGGTGAGTGAGTTGGGTCTCAGGTTCAGTAAGTAGACCACTGGAAAGGCTCATTGGACGCTATCGGCCTCCGAAGGTTGATGTATTGATCGGTAGATTAGCTGTTCGTTTTTTTAGAACGTTCTAGTCAGATAATTGAGGAAGCATTTTTCGTTGTTGAACGTCGGGTTTACACAGTATCCGCGGAGCCCTGAAATAACGAAGAGCACAATTGCACCTTGATAATATGCGGGCAGTATCTGGTACCGCTAGTCGCGATGGAGGATGGCTACCTGTAATGATGCCGTGCTGAACAGAGACCAGCCTGTCCGTCTGAACCCAATTCGTTTACATTAAGCGCAGCAAAGAAATGTGAAGTTTGACCGTGGGTCACGTGCTCTGAACAAAGGCAGCAGTGTGACCCTTCGGTGACATGGTGCGCTGAACTAACAAAACCTTAGCTTCTTCAGATACTAGTGACTCTATTAGAATATACCGAACCTAGAAACTACACCCACGCCGCATCTAACACCGTACTGTTCAACACGCGGTAACGCTGGAGTGGATGCAGTCCATATTGCCCAAAATAATCCATCCAAGGCGGCGCCAAGGTGTAGCTTGTTAAGACTAATCTGGTGTACGGCAGTGTTGCAGTAGTGATAATCACTAGTGAATGACATAAGTAAATCCAACGCGCCACGCAGGTCAACATGGCTAGACTCGTGTGATTCAACTGCAGCGTCGTAGTATCCATAGTCGGTGTTCAACGGCAGAGATGGAGCCAGACTCGTGCGATCTACCTACAGCGATACAGTACTCATAGTAAGTGTTCAACAGCGGCGACGAATCTAACGCGCCACGTAGGTCAACGTAGCCAGACTCGTGTGATCCAACTGCAGCGTAATAGTACCAATAGTCAATGTTCACCAGCAGGGATGACGCCAACACGGCGCAGGCGAACCCAGCCAGACTCGTGTGATCCAACTACAGCGTGTAGTCTCCATAGTCAATGTTCAACAGCAGGGATAAATCCAACATACCATGCGCTACCAAGCCAGGGTAATGTGATCTAACTATAGCGTTGTAGGATAGCTAATGTTCAACGGCGGGGATGAAGCCAACACGCCACGCAGGTCAACATGACGAGACTCACGTCCAACTAGAGCTTGTAGTCTCCATAGTCAATGTTCACCAGCAGGGATGACGCCAACACGGCGCAGGCGAACCCAGCCAGACTCGTGTGATCCAACTACAGCGTGTAGTATCCATAATTAATGTTCAACGGCAGGGATAAATCCAACACAGCGCAGGTGAATCCAGCCAGATTCGTGTGATTCAACTGCAGCGTGTAGTATCACTAGGCAGTGTTCAACGGCAGGGATGAAGCCAACACGGCGTAGGCCAACGCGGCCAGTCTCGTGTGATTCAACGACAGCGTGTAGTCTCCATAGTCAATGTTCAACGGCAGGGATGAAGCCAACACGGCGCAGGCGAACCCAGCCAGATTCGTGTGATTCAACTGCAGCGTGTAGTGTCCATAATTAATGTCCAACGGCAGGGATAAATCCAACGCGGCCAGACTCGCGTGATTCAACTGCAGCGTATAGTCTCCATAGTCAATGTCCACCAGCAGGGATGAAGCCAACACGCCACGCAGGTCAACATGACGAGACTCACGTCCAACTGGAGCTTGTAGTCTCCATAGTCAATGTTCACCAGCAGGGAGCCAACACGGCGCAGGTGAATCCAGCCAGATTCGTGTGATTCAACTGCAGCGTGTACTATCCATAATTAATGTTCAACGGCGGGGATGAAGCCAACACGCCACGCAGGTCAACATGACGAGACTCGCGTCCAACTACAGCGTGTAGTCTCCATAGTCAATGTTCAACGGCAGGGATGAAGCCAACACGGCGTAGGCCAACGCGGCCAGACTCGTGTGATCAACTACAGCGTGTAGTCTCCATAGTCAATGTTCAACGGCAGGGATGAAGCCAACACGGCGCAGGTGAATCCAGCCAGACTCGTGTGATTCAACTGCAGCGTGTAGTCTCCATAGTCAATGTTCACCAGCAGGGATGAAGCCAACACGGCGTAGGCCAACGCGGCCAGACTCGTGTGATCAACTACAGCGTGTAGTCTCCATAGTCAATGTTCACCAGCAGGGATGAAGCCCACAGCGCAGGCAAACCTAGCCAGACTCATGTAATCCACCTGCAGCATTACAGTAATGATAATCAGCGTTCAACGGCAGGGATGTTTCCAAAACGCCACCGAGATCACCTCGGCGGCAGGACACTCAGTCATAGACAAAAGAGGAACATCCATCACGCCACTGTTCAGGTTACTTGGCTAGACTCGTGTAATGCTAGACACAGCTGCGCAAATGCGCGCACCTTCAATTGCAAACTGTGACAGCGCATGTCTGTTGGCGGTTTTCACTCTGATGGGATGCCAACTGCAGCTGCCCCATAGTCAACAACAAGAGACCCTGCTCTGTTGTTGGCCCCCTTTGTGGATACGTTTGGTAGTAATTCTGTGCTAGCGTGACCTACTCATGGGAATCCTGCTTTCCGCCATGTAGCCGTATGCCTCTCAGAATTCCGCAACGGGGCCTATTTTCGACTATAGCAAGTCCCATTCCTGTGATAGGGAGGGTGAGCCATTCGAAGCGAGCCTCTTTGACGTAACCATTATTCGTATTGGCTAGGAAAATGGACTAATACCGATTGCGTCAGCAGGTCACAGCGAGTGCCCTTTGTCCCATAGTCTAGGACCGACACATCCGAGGATGGCTAGAACACTCATCTTGGGATAGGTGGTACGGGTCCCCCCAGGAACATGACTCACTACCATACCGTAGTCGCTGCGTTGCACGCCCCTGTCTCTTTCCCTATCTCGACTAGTAGGTGTGAATGCGAACCCAACAACCTGTGCTATACGTAAGGCAATTGGCCAAGTCTCCGGGGCAGCGCTATCTGTCTGTAAGGTGACGCAATCCGTTCTCTAGTAAACCGATAGAGCTCTGATGTCGGAGGCGAGATCTCCTGTAGACGGCCTCAGCGAACCCAACAATCATCCTAGTCACCAATGAGGATATTGGGGCCAGGCGATCAGGTTCGCGTGACTCGCCTAGTCAGGTGGGCTGGTTCTGGGGAGGAGGCCTTCGCTATGTCAGTTTTACGGCGTAGTCCATCAGTTTTACGGCGCAGTCAATCAGACTAGTACCCCTGCCATCATATCACTGACCGCGCTATACGCAGCTGTCCTGCAGATACTGATCATCGTTTTCACCGTGGGAAGCCCCATCCCATAAGCGTAGCCTTCGCGTCCATCGCGATGCCACTATGGTGGCCCTTGGGTTGGCATAGACATGGCGAATGAGTTGGTCGTTATAATAGGAGTGTTCCTGATCAGCGGCCCGTCGCATCACCGTACCGCACGTGATGTGCATTAGGCGTGAAATTCTCGTGACGACCATGTTTAGCGTGATTTCCCAGCGCCTAATTCTAGACTAATCAAGTCGATTTTACTAAACCCAGCCTAGCTTGCCACAGTTTCATGCTTTAGCGACCTCGTTGCCCTATCGATAATTGGATCCCCTACTCGATTGTTAGCCACAGCGTCATCCTCGACCAATCGGAAGGACTCCCACCGCCATACTCGGGTCCTTTGATTACAACAGACCCTCATAGGGGCCGAGACAGGATGGATCCTAGGATGTTGGCGTGGGGGGCCACAGAAAAACACATCATCTACTTTGGATTCATATCCGGATCTACTGTAGACGTCGGAAGAGGGTTGTGTACAGAGGCAGAAGGAAGGCGTGCCCATCTTGCCGCACAAGCATGCAACGAGCGCCCCGGCCCGGAAGCCGCCCGTGTGGAGATTGGAGGCCCATTCTTCCAATTGCGCGACGCCTGCGGAGGCGGGGCGGGTAGTCACAGGCATAGCCAACAACGTGATCCTCGGGGTAAAAGAAAGGCAGACTCTGGTCTAGAGCTGCTGCGGCTAATCCATGGCGCCTAGTCTCCGCCCGGTACTTTTGAACGATCGGTGTCGATGTCTACTAGTAGGAAGATGATTTTATTGCCCTCTTGTTGCTAGAGTGAGCCCCTAGGCTAAGTCGAGGGGAAATCAAATTATCTAAGCCTGCTTTCCTACGGCATCGTTTTAACTTAGGAAACTACGTTGATGCTAGGATAGCTCTTAGATAATATACATTTACTGAAGTACTGGACACGCTGGGCCTAGATTTCCTTAGCGGCGAGAGACTAGGAACCGGACCTAGACCCTGACCTCCGCCATTGGAGCCTACTGGACTAGATAGGGTTGTATTTGGCAATTTTCTGTTGTGCTTGCTCTCTGATGTATCGGGTTTATGTCGGACACCGTGGGACAGGACCCCTCGCCGGCGCGTCTACTTTGAGGCCGACCGTGTGCCATGCTCGTCAAACTAGATCAGACGAGGGCATGCATCTATCCTCCTGGCCGAAGAGCATAGGGGGCCATTGGTCACGTGGACGTAGCGAGAGCTTGCTCAGACGGGCCTTTTTCCTATCTCCGATAGTCCTTAGGATGCCTTGTTGGCGGCTCAATCTCCGCTCACAGACTAGGATCCCAACCTATCTTTGATCCACACAAGGGGCTCTATCAGATCATGACGAGTCTCGCCCCATGCAAAATCGGGCGGGGTTCTACTACACAAGCAGAGCCCAGGACAGGGACGGGGGGAAAAGATGCAACAGAAGTGGACATATCCAAACAAAGGATCCTTGTGTGGCAGATGTAGCTACCGTTCCTAAACGGGACCTAAAATCTATACAGGGTGGCTTGCCTAGCACCGAGCGGATCGTGCACTAAGAACCTCATACGTCTACCGTTGTTTGCTTAATGCACCTTAGGACGTCTCCGCGAGGTAAGGAGATCCGGCAGCTATTGCTGTGGATCGAATACGAGATATTAGCGTGGAGCTAGGCTTTCATATAGGTGGCACGCATTAAGTAGACACGCATTAAGTAGACAACACAAGATACATAGTACCGCCGCCCCTTGACACTTAAATATTCTCCCCCAGGCTAGTAAAAAAGCGGTCAAGGTCGTATATATCGGGATGCTGGGTATGGCCATTTGTAGATGCGGCGGAAACTGGGTTTTGTGTAGCAAACTCCCAGTTAGCCATACCCTGCTGAGTCGTCGGAATCTGAGAGGGGTGCACAGAGAGCCCGTTGCCGTTGGCAGTCGAGGCGCCAAACTGCCCCGGATCAACGGTGAATCCATTTTGCTGCTGCATTGTGCCCACCGGGCCTTGAGGGAGGCCCGGCGCGAGATGAGACGGGGGCTGGACGTGGTTCGATGGAGGATTTCCCGAGCTTGGATATGGATGTTGGTTCATTGGCCACGACACGCCCAGGTCCGAGATGGGCTGCGGAGGAGACTGTCTCTGGGTTGTGACCGGCAGTCCCTGATGGAGAGTCGAGCGCTGCGTCGCACTCGGCCGAGGCTGTCGAGTCTGTGGCGCCATGTCGCCAGCGTGGAAACGATCATTCACTTGACCATGCCCAATCCCTTGTCCACTGCTTGCTTTAGTTGATGTCTCCAGCAACGGTGATTCAATCCCAATTTCTCTGAGCATATTTTTCATGGTCGGATCTAGCTCTGTCGCTCTTTCGATACCGCTTTCGATCCGCTCCCTATCCTGAACCAATTCCTCACAGACATTGTAGAGGTTTTTAGCTACCAGACCACAGCGTTTGTGATCGGACATTAAAGAATCCTGCGGCCGGTGTGATGAGAAAACTGTGGACCGGCGCTAGATTATCATACTTACTAAGACTTCTTTCCCTCCTGCCACATTTCGTAGCATGTGCAAGAGCTTAGAAGTGATCTTTTCCTGGGAGGACTTTTTCATTTTCGTTGATATAGCGATGCACAACGAACAGGTTCGGGATGCGATAATGAATTTGTTGGCGAACGGTTGAAAGAGGCGGGGCGCAGCGGTTATGAACGATTCTCGTAACGTTATTTGCGGTAACCGCGTTTGTCTGCTTTTCTTTGCAAGGATAATGGAGGCCGCGTAACTCATAAAGCAACGCACTATAATGTCCCCCCCCCGGGGGGATCTTCTCTAGTCTTGGCTTAGTTTTGGTCAACTGCTCCTTGTCCGCTGGCTCTACCGATTCCGATATGGTGGTACCACGTGAATCTGCAGGTAAAACCAAATGTGCAGTTTACTCGTTGTGGAAAATAACATATTCATCTTCAAGCACAGTGGCCAATGTCGTAGGAATTTAAATGCTCGTTCTCGTTCGTTCCCATGGACCCACCAATATCCCTTGTTTCGCGCAGTTCGTTCGAGCACTAGTAATGTTCAAGTCTTCTGCAAAAAGAATCTGCCCAGTCTATCTGCCCTCTATTCAAGATAGCATCAGGTGGTTCCATTGATTTGACGAGAAGCGTATGCGATTACTCTACCTACCTTCCCACTGTATACTGTAACGCTTACCTCACGGAAGTATTTTGTGCAGTGAAATCTGAGAAGATATTTTTGTATCCATCTTCTGTGTCGTCCTCCCACCAGACTCCGCTGGACCCAACTTGCAACGGTGCAATCATTTGTCAGGCCCCAGGTGTCGACGCCACTTCACTTTTACAGTACGGCTCGGAACGCAGTGCAAGCTGATACTGTAGTCCGGGGGAAAAATGGCCTATTATCTTACTGATCTGGACACAATTGGTGAATCGGTGCTTCAGTAGATGGAACCATGGAAGGAAGTGAAAACGAGACCGGCATTGCTGTACAATGCACAACGTATTCAGAAATCTCGCCAAGCGGACTGGGCCCGCAGTTGCTCTATTCACCACCAACTTGGGACTAGCCTGGGGCCTCAAACCACATAGCATATCGCCGGAGGCATGAGCACCACGAACAAGGAGGGCACAGACGAGGGCAATCGGTGACACTGTCTGGGGTACCTCCCAGAATGAAAGCTGTGGGCCGAACGTGCGGCGCTCAATGGCGACCTCGGTCCGATAAGTGAGAGACGCGCTCGCTAGCACGAGGAGCAGGGGAAACAGGACGTTGGGACGCATTTTTCTCGGCGGCGAACAGTGGTGAACAGGACAATGTCAAGATAATGAGTGTATAGTAGAACAGCGATGCCCAGTAGCCAATGGTTCGAACAAGAAGCTAATGAATTTAGGTCAACATCGTCTCATATAGCTGACTTCAGAATTGACTTCCATTTTGCACACAGAGGAACTATGTCAAACCCAAACGCTAAAGCGATGGTGAAACTGTCTAGTCCGGATCCAGCTAGATTACAGATAGCCCCTGCGCGTCACTTCGAAGTGGTAAAATACCTGACAATATTGATTCGCCACGTTCCCTGTACTCAGGTATTTCATTAATGCGCTTTCTGCCCCGCCCGCCTAGTTGGCTGCACCTCAGACCACGTTGGCGCTCTCCCCCAGCATTGTTCAGACATCGATGGTTCTAGACGGCAACTCTTCTATAGCCCACAGTAGCTGTGCCACTAATAGGTACAGGGAACTTGCTCCTGCCATCCACCAACGTCCACCGAGGCCATCACAGATGCCTACGCTAGGAAGGAATCTGCCACTTCTTTCCGCCCTATCGGACGCATAAAAAGGCCACATTTCTCCTTTCGGGACCAGATACTCTGTTCTGCTATCCTCGCATCGGTTCCAACTCGACATAGTGCACGGCACAATGATCTCGATATGAAGAGATCGGCTCCGCTAGTAGGACCGCTAGTAGGAGATATATACTACGAAGTTGTCCAGTCAATGGTTGATCGACTATGGGAAATATTGTGCGCTCGCAACCCGGCAGTGTCGCTATTATCCGTTCCAGAGGAAGCATGCTTTAATATCACTGGGTTCCCTGATATGCACCCCTCGGAACGCGTTGAAATACTGTCTCAAGTGAAGTCCCACGACTGGGATTTGAGATTCAAGGAAAAAACCGCCCAAGGTATCATAGTCATTCAGCTCATCCGTGTTCTAAGAGAGCGTGACTCCCGAACAAGCGCGGATGCCCTCCGAGCTAGATGGCAGCGGATCTGTACCCACCGATAATATGCGTATAAAGATCAAATCCAACTACCTAGCGGACCCTGCCGCAGTTTACAGTACGCCAAAGTAGGGCGATATCTGTCATCTTGTGACCTTCGATCACATTCGTCTAAGCGTATCTACTGCAACGGTGGTGCCATCTTCCTCATCGAAATGTGGCTAGCGCTCACAGAAAACTCTAGCCGTGAATTCTTCGCGCTGCGCTGGATGCGTTTGGGAGCCGCGATCGACATTTACAAACGAGGACAGGAGGAGCAAGTCAACTGATTGGTTGTTAGTTCAACTTTTTTTGCGATCCACCTGTCATTTAGCTGAATCAGCAATCATATGTTGACTGTTCCTGCGTTTTCGGTACATGTAACTCACAGCTTGTGAAATGATGTCTTGAAAGGACCTTCCTCCTGTGAGCTTGGCGAACGAGCGCGTGAGTCTACGCTAACCGTATCCAGCATAGCGTGCTTCTTGGATTTGGGGTTTCGGAAACAACTTTTCTGTGTAAAATATGGAAACCAATTTCGAATCCAGCTATATTAGCAAATGAACTATAGTCCATGAGACAGGAACTTTCAACGTATCCAAGACACTGTAACATCGACGGACTACAGCTTGAGTGTGTGTATTTTCAATGACCATGACCCACCAGGTAACGGTGCTGTATGCAGCTATCTTGACCATGTATGTCCATGTGTATGTACTGTATAGTAGAGCGTTCCAATATCTATTACTTGTTTTTGAGAAAAAATCACCATTAATTGATACACTTCGTGCGGTATTGCCAGGTTTCAGTTCAGGAGATGCCTAAGTTTTAGAGGATCGGATCTGGGTTGACTCTCATGCGATCCAAGTATCTGTGGAGCATTCCGATTATCCGAAACCATATGTGAGTGATGAGAGTCACTGAGCATGTCTTGTTGCGACCAGGACGCGAGGCTGGAACGTGTGCCACTTGTGCTGGAATTGCATTCCTGGGTATCAGTCACAACTGGCCTTGGTGGCCAGCGGGCCTCGATCAGGCTAGATTGTCTTTCATGGGGCAGGGGCATTTCTTGTGGAGACCATCCATTGATATCTAAGCAGTGCTGTCTTTGCATCAGCGGAACGAGGTTCTCTAAGCTTAAAGACCTCTTTCGCCTACGTCGAGTAGTTTTCGGCATATAACCCTCACATATAAATCCAGCTCGAATGCAGGTGTTGCCTGCAGAGCACAATTAGCCTTTAAATAACTGTTTGTGATATCGCCCGTAAAGGCCATTTTAAAGTAATTCTCGACTTACACGAAGGAGATTGCTCGTCACATTTCTTTTTCCTGCGTCGACAAGTCACACAGCCAGTCGTGGTTCTGGGGCTATACGTTCGATTTCGTTTTGCCACCCGGCGCTGTCCGGATCCAGGGATACCAGTTGAGGATGCAGTCTGAAAATTTGGTGCAGATGGTACCGGAGCACCGGTATTCCGGCTCTGTAGTTCTTGGTCTTGCATCTGTTCCTGTACGCCAGAGACATCTCTCTGTTGGAGATGTACCGCGCTGCTCAGCTGCGCATCGGATTTGGACCGATTCGCGTTTGGTTTTGAGTTTCCCAGAATTTTGATCTGGTCAGATAGGTGATCGCACGCCGTATCAACATTCGTTCGTTCATTGGATTCGGACGTGGCGCAGTTTGAGATAGACAGAACATTATCTGGTGGATTCAAAAAGCCCCTGGTAGAATTTGTGCCCCGTTCTGGCAGAGCCTCAGTTCAGGAAGGCTCAGGCAACGTGATGTTGTGATTGCTAACAAAATTCACAGGTCTCTGCGAGATATTTCGATCATTATCATCTTGTTCGAGATTCTGTCGCAATTCTTCCTGGTTCTCCTGATACTCGGATTGGGATTTTTCTGGTCCTCCGCTTTCCATTTGGTTGCTCAGCATCGGCTGCACTCCATCTGCACCGATGGACATAATGTCGTGGTCATCGGTAGCTGTAAATGAGAGACAAGTGAATTCAATCCCGGTGTAGGATTCTCTGCTGTGGTTGCTCATCACGGGGCTGGCTGTGACGGTTCGCATGGTTCTGAGAAATCAGAGCTTCCCCACGAGCTTCCAACGTTTCTAACAGTATTCCGTTCTCTGAACTAGATGCCCGCCTGCCTTCCACCTGTGAGGAAGCGGACTCTGGTCTGCACACATGCTGGTAATCTTTGTGGCTCTCATCGGCACCTTCGCGATCAATAGAAGAAACCCGGTTTGTTTGAATTTCTGTTTTGGACAACCTCCCGCTCCCTGGGACCATCTCAGTGGTATAAGCTTGGCTAAGCTCGAGTGTACTTAGCTGAGAATCATTCGATCTCGCAGGGTGACCTAATAAGGCCCGTTCCGCCATATTCTCTGGACCCTGTGACTCAGAGAGTTCTACGTGAGGATACCCTGACCGTGACTGCTCAGGTTCAGCAATCTCTCTGCCCAATGTGTGTAGCTCTTGAGGGCTTCGAGGAGAAGTCGAGCAAGGAGATTCTTCAGGACAAGCAGGCGAATCTGTTATCAACGACGAGGTAAAAGTCTCAGGATTTACTGCCGTACAAGGAATGAGCGGGGTCACAGTAGCCGACGGTACTATTTGTTTTCCACGAACAGTCTTTCTTTTGTTGCGGTGTCCGACACCTTTCTTGTTCTTTTTTTTCTGATCGTAGTACTTGGTCTGGATGGCAGAGAAGCTTCGGTAACAATGAAAGTCGCGCAGGAAATCACGCTCAATCTCGTCTTGGGACCGATGGCGCCGTGGCTCGAACCATGAGGGTAACTTGTCCAATTCCCCATCGGTCCAGGTAGGATTGCGAGGCAAACCTAGATTCCGTCAACATAAGCTTCTGTCCAGTCACCATAAGACAAGACTCACGCCCACTTTTTCTGCCTCTCTTTCGCACCATTGCTCCTTGTCCCCTAGCGGAAGCTTTGTGTGTCAAGTGATCTTGCAAGTCGGTTACATTAGAGTTGCACGCGTAATTTGATCCAGCTTGAGCGGAACAAGAAGCTTTGTCTGTCTTCTCAAGCGCATCTAGCTTGGCATCCAGAGTGCCAAGTATGCTGTTATTCATATCAACCACTGCTCTCAACCAAATTAGCGATTGTTAGAAAACTAAAGCATCTCGGGGGCATGCAAAACTTCAATGCAATGTCATTCCATGATAATATTTCCGTCCTCACCAACGTCATCGTATCTTTTTCCGCCTGCACATCACTTCCGTGGGATTTTATGTGAACAAGGTTTCGGAGATCGTCAGAGAAAATCAAGTTGCGGTCGTACTCGGATATTTTGACCAACACCCCGCGCTTCTCAAGGCGACAATAATAGCTGCCATCGCTCTGGAGCTTGGGCTCGCACGTATGGTCGCGAATGATGTCTATCCAAGTAATATTATCACCACAGTCATCGTTCTCAGATTCAATGACCTGCGGATGCGGTTCGTTGAATAGCCAGGCAACCCTCTCTGCCACAGTGTCGCTCATAAGCGGTACTTTGAAATATCTTGCGATGCTAGTGTCGCCTTGGAAAACAGCGTGAAATGACCGCGATAACTCTAGAATGGCGAGTAGTTTTTGGCGTGAGGGATCGAACTGTTGTAATCGAGGTTGTCCCTCCCCATCACGCAATGTTGGATTGTCTTCTTGTCTTTCGCCATCTAAAGAATCTTTGTCCACAATATTTGAATCCATTGCCAACGTTGAACAACTTGAAGAAAGATTGGTTAGGTTACTTTCCAAAGACACCCAGGTTGCGGAAACTAAATACCCTTGGAAAGAACAGTAGGGTACAGTAATATGGAGGGAGGGCGTAGGTGGGGGCAGGGTTTGGGGGAGGGGTACGAAAAAGAACGAAGAGTCTCCTCGAATGGATCCTTTGCCTCCGAGCGCGAGCAGGGGTCAAATATATGCCATTGCATATCGCGCAGCGCAGCCAGGGAATATAAAGACTGACAATAGTATACAGATAGCCCAATCGGAATGTAACTAGCGCGCCATGACCCTCGTTTCCACTAGACACATGAACAGCTGATGTATTAGGAGAAAATGGGGAGCTCGACCACCTTGTGGCTCCTCTCCACACTATTCCGTCAAGAAGGCTGCGCATTCCGTGGTCCCCGACGGCTTGAATCACCAACGGCGCTTCTAAGCTGAAAATCATTGGCGAAAGGCGACCCACTTATGCAGGTGAACAAATCGTCCGTATTTCGCCCCTGAGAGTGAGGGTCCAAGAGTCAAAGCACACAATTACCCGAGCGGCCGTGGCAGAACAGTGGGACAATTGATGAATTTCGTAGGCTATTCAGGGATCCACACGGGAAGGGTGCGAATACATGCAGCTGCGCCAATCTAGACTCGCATGTGTCGAGGCAGCACGCCGCCGATGGGTAAGACTTGTAAGGGTCCAATCGACAACGATCAGCCAGGTCAGCGAACATTCGCGATGTCCGTATCAGCACAGGAAGCACCAATCACCGCGCGAAGGAAAGGAAGGTTACACTCATAAAATGACACTTCTCACTTTGACATTATGGTGCGGCTGTGCCGTGGTAGCAGAAATAGGTCTCCTTGACTGTGCCGCATAGCTGACAGAGACAGAGTCCACTCCCAGGAACTAGCCGACTTTAGCAGGCGAGTCAGGCAAACCTCATGACCTTGTGCAATCACCCCACGGGCGACAAGGGTAGTTTTTTGGTTAGGTGAGACACCGCCGATAAGGAAATCTCCTCGCCTCCAGCGCCAGAACCCGAACGGCTCCACATGCCGGCTGGAGACGGTGTTCACTGGCGCAGTCCTTGAGAGTTGACAAATTGCCTCACGTATAGAATGGTTCATTGTTGGGTTAGCCTCACGCCTACTAGGCGAGATAAAAAAGGAGACAGGGACCCACAGTGTGGCAACTGAAGGGCGGAGAGAGTCATTTCGTAGGGACCTTTGGCGCTATTCAAAAATGAGCCTTGTGGTCATTCTCGGATGTGACATTCCTGGATTGCGAGTGCATGGGATTTGTAGCGCCCAGTCTATACAGGAAAGAATCCGTGGGAATAACATCTCACTTTCGTTTACAATGCACCTCTTGGTGGCCTCGCACTCATTCATCCGTAGTTGACTTGCCAAGTGCTTTCTTTGTTTTCAGTATGAACGCGGCTGCGGGTTACCTGGGTGACGTATCTTAAAGGCGTAGCACGGCGATATTCATGATTCCAAGATTTTGTGTGCAAGAGCTGTTACCTGTCTGAAGTGCCATTTTATGAAGAGATCAAAATTGTCAAGCATATTGGTACAGTGGCGACCGCTATCGGCTTCCATGTCTGAAACATAGAGAGGCTCTTTCAAACCCTAATCACATGATACGCTATTCTATTTATGAATAGCGCGTAAATAATCCGTTTTGTAGCTAACCAGGTATTAAATACTTGAAGCTTAAAATACTAGTATGGAAGATACAGGGGCCTAGAATTAGAGAAGCGAACTTCCAGTCGAAGGTTCGATGCAAACTCAGCAAACATAGCGGTCTTTGCATCGGCAACCTGTCAACAACTCTTCTCTGTATAGTATTTTGCAGTTGCTTCACTGCAGAGAGCCCGGTGCTTTTTTGGGAGTCCATCCACGGCCAAGTTGATAGGCAAGACTCGACGGTTAGGATTATTCGTAATCTCCGCCACTGCTTACAGTATGTCTCGAAACTGGTGTCACCAGTTACACTCTGAGATTCTTTCTCGAACCTTAATTGCCAAGACGCGCTAGTCTACATTGGGAGTTTTTCCGGAGTATCCTTGTCAATAGGGCTTGTAGTGTTCTTACACAGAGTAACGAGAACAGATGGCAGGGTGTATTCACTTGTAACTTAGATACACCTGACACCTTGGTATCCCACATCGAAAACCATCATCTCTTGGTACGCGCAGATCTTTAATTAATCACGCGTGGGCACAGCGTTAAAACATAGCCTAACACAGGCGGCCACGGAGCATCACACCAGTATTGCTGGAAACACTTTATCAACTCGAGAAGCGCAATTTGTCTCTTGAGGAGGAGCCGATTTGGCCCTGGAACAAGTTTGACTTCCAAAAGAGCGAAATAGGCATGTTACGATGCCTGTTGGTTTGACACTGCGAGCACATATTGCGATGCTAGTTGAGAGGGACGCTGTTCAGCAAATATTGTGGCTGCACAGGTATAGATAACTCGAAGCTCTTAGCCGACATTCATCCTAGAACCAGACTTTCACTTTAAACATATTGCGTGAAGTTGTACCTTAAATTACTATTCTGCTTTTTTTAGTTTGCTTTATGGAATATAATCCGGAAATAAAGATTTCAATTTCACCCATTTTAAATTTCAACAAACTTTCAACAGATAGGCGATTTCCCTCTTCGATTTGACCGCGCTGGGACCAATAACAGATACTAATAATACAAGTCAATGGCAAGGCATGATTTTCCAGACGAGATGAGAATTTACCATTCCCCTTCTTTAGGGATGGCTTATATGTATCTGATTTCCAGTATGCTGACCACCTTGTCGAAGGCATGACTTTTGACAGCTCCTAACACTGATGGTCCTCCTGGAGTATTTTGCAGAGTCTCAAATTTCCACAGGGCATCCGCACAATCAATTTGGCCATTCCCAAATGCACCAAAGGGAAGAGTTATATTTGCTCTTCCAGTAGTGAATTCAAGAGTAGGAAATGGGCTCGTATCAAGCAGTTGCAATCCGAATAGATGTATCAAGCCTGTTTTTTTAAGCAGCTGTTGAAGCTGCTGCAGAAAAGAGGCGATCTCGGGATTATCCAAATCGAGAACCTTTTCTGCACTATCACTGAAGCCAAATTCGTAGGGTGCAATATTTCCATCCTTGGTAAACCGCCAGGATGTTGGAATAATATTTCATACTTGGTTATTGTAAAGTCCAGAATGGGCTGCATATATATCTGAAGTGTCAAGCTTTTGTCGAGACAGTACCGACGGGCCCATTCCATCAGCTGCTTCTCCGTTGTCCAATCGATAACAGTGCTTCAAACCGCTGATTAGAATATTGTTGCAAACGGTTTATTACAGATACGACAACAATAGTATTGTCCGGCCTAGACCAGACCTTCGTTTTGGGCCCTCGGCGCGAGGTTTAAACCAGCTTTGCCCGCCGATTGCAGGCTATCCTCCAGCATAGTTCTATTTCAGCAATCTCTTTTATCTACTTCCAGTGGAAACCGGGTGGCAAATCCAAGTCTAGTTTCCTTGCCACAACCCAGATTCTCCCCAGGCTGACAGACTCAGTACTGTATTGTGATGAGCAAAATCAGGCGTACTCTGCATATAAGGATGGTTCTTCTTCAGATTATCTAGTTCCAAGGAAGCCTCAAGGTGGTCACTTGCACATAGGAGCAGACAAAATAAGGTAGGGTGAAATGACACATAGCCAGACCCTCGACGCCCACTCCCGCACTGTTTAACTTGTTTGCATTGTCTGCGAAAATTAGAAACATGAGTCATGTGATAGTTGGAGTACAACACTGTATGTGTTAATTTATACAGGAATAACAATCTCCCGGGCCAATTCTTGATATAGTATAGTGGATCTTGGCATTCGGGTCCAAGAAACAATTAAAGAGTGTAAGTGGTAACACCAGTTTCGAGACAGTCTGTATGATAATAAGCGACTCTCCAAATTGCTGATGCCGCCAACTACCTATGCACGGCCGCACCCAGGATGTGCCGGGCGGTGAAGGATTACCACACCACCTAAACTGGACTCCTTTCATTGCTGGATGCTACCCGGTTTTATGTAATTTGGTGCACTAGCTATTAAAGTTAAGATTCTAAGAGCTTATCTGAGTACTGCGGTGGCGTCATTTCGTAGTTTCGCGACGCAGACCGTTTTCATCTTTATTAGTTCATATTCGCCACATAGAGGCATGTGGTTAAATGGCCTCGTGATTAATATTTGGTCTCGCTCGGTCTATAGAAACCAACTGTTCTTCAAAGATTCCTACTTGCAAACAAACACCATGAGGGTACCTAGGTTCTGGCTACACACGACGTGTCATTTGAGATTCTAGGCTCTATCGTTGACAAGTGAATGATGTATTGAAAGCTTCCATAGCAGTGCATTTTCAGCAGAATGAAATAGCCTAGAAGAATCGATCTAACACTATCTAGAATATGACTTCATCGGTTGATCATTTCCGCTAACTTCCCTATCCCCTACGAGCATATTAACCTTTTATTTCTAGTCGTTCAAGTCCTCAAACTAAAAAGCTATTTCTTGTTGCTAAGTTATATGAGAAGCACTTCATACAATATCATATCAATCAGGCTTCCCAACTCTATCAGTGCGAGGTATTAATTCCAGAAAGCCTTAGTGTCGTCTTACTAATCGGGTCACTGGCAGATCTAAAGATGGGTTGGAATAGTCTGGGCGGGGAAATCATTGGTGAAGCAGCCACTGTGTCGTGGGCATCGGACAGGCTTGACGTCTTTGTTCGAGATATCCATAATCAAGTTCTGCACAAATGGCGGGAGGGCCAGGACTGGAAGCCTAGGTCCGGTTGGGAGTCGCTCGGCGGTGATATTGCCGAAGGGCCATCTGCCGTTTCCTGGGATCGCGAGCGGCTGGATGTGTTTGCCCGGGGCACTGACAATAGTGTACTACACAAATGGTTTGATGGAACAAGGTGGAACCCCCTAACAACTGGGAACCCCTCGGTCACAATATCATCGAGAAGCCGATGGTTGTGTCATGGGGCGCACATCGACTTGACGTGTTCGTTCATGGGGCTTCCGACCATAATCTCTGGCACCGAGCGTGGACTGGGCGACAGTGGGAAAGCTGGGAGTCGCTCGGCGGTCCGATACTTGGCACCCCAGCACCAGTATCAATGAGCCCAGACAGAGTTGACGTCTATGTCCGTGGAACCAACAATGCCGTCCTTGGCAAAGCCTTGCTTGGAACCTCTTGGACTCCAACTTGGGGCTCACTGGGAGGTAACGTGCTTAGCGGCCCAGAGGCTGTATCATGGGGTCCTGGCCGAATCGATATTTTTGCGCATTGGGCTGACGACAATGTGTTTCACAAGGCCTTTGATAACGGCCAGTGGGGACCTTCGCAAAATAATTGGAATCCAGCTCTTGGTAAGATGTTGAAAGGGCCACGTGCAGTAGCTGGAAGTGCCAAACATCTAGACGTTGTCATACAGGCCGCTGATTTAAGTGTTCGGCATAAAGCGTGTTATGATGGGGTAAACTGGGTGCCCGCGGGTACTAACTGGACATCACTTGGGGGCGCAGTTGCTGGGGTACCAGTTCTGAGTCCGCTCGGTTCCCAAAAGTTGGAGGTCTTCGTTCGCGGCCGTAACGGAGATTTGGTTTTTTGGTCTTGAGTATGAAGCTTTGCACTTTCCGCGATAAGTTTGACACAAATTGTATATTTGCTAGTTTCCTACTGCTAAAATTCATGTCCTTTGTACAGTTCAGAGATCAAACCATTACTAAAAACCTTGAGACTTACTTCAGGTCTCGTCTGAATAGGTTACTTTTCCATGGAATGTCCATGACAAAAGGGTTCCGGCTACCATGGCAGGCATACAGATACTAAACATTAGTCACGTAATATATTGAGGTAAGGTATTGTATGACTGACAATACAGGAACATTGTTATTCCGGAACTATCCTTAATATAGACTAGTGGATCTTGGCACTTGGGTTTGAGAAACAATCGAAGAGTATAAGTGGTGACACCAGTTTCGAGACGTACTGTATCATCATGCCATGTTTTTGGATTTTATTGCTCACCAGAGTTTACTAGCTAACTCTTCCAGTTCCTTTTGCTTAGGCTTCCCCTCACCACAGACATTCAGATGGCGAATAGCCTTTGCAGTGACGATGCCTATCAAACCCGGACCGTCGACCCATGGACAAAAACTCCTAGTATGCCCCTACTCCCGGTTACTTTGGGCGTACACCTATCCTGTTCTCTCCCTGCGCGGCCCCGGATTGTGCCATGGATTAGCTGCAGTTAGATCAGCTGGGTTTTCTTCTATTAACCGAATGGGATGAAGGTGCGGAATATAACGAGTTATATTCAAATATCTAGCTTATCTAGGAATTCATATTCAACTCCGTTTCCCATTCCAGCAATGTTTTAGAGTTAGACAAGGTGTCCGGATGGTTTAGGCCTAGTAATTTTTTCTGCTTGACCAAGCATTTTCGTAGTATGTTGATGGCTTCGGCATCGCGACCTGACGATTTCCAGGTGAAAGAGAGATTAGACATACTCCTCAGCGTCTCGGGATGGTCCTCGCCGAGCTTCGTCCTGCGCGTCTTCATCACCTGCATGTTGAGTTGCTCACTCTCTTCCCACCGGCCCTGGTAACTATACGTCGATGCCAGGTTGGCCATAACCATTAGCGTATCGGGATGATCTTCGCCAAGCTTCGTCTTGCAAGTCTCTATCACCTGTATGTTGAGTTGCTCAGCCTCTTCCCACCGGCGTTGGTTTCGGTACGTCGACGCTAGGTTGGCCATACTCATCAGCGTGTCGGGATGGTCTTCGCCGAGCTTCGTCTTGCAAGTCTCTATCACCTGCACCTCGAGCTTCTCGGCCTCTTCCCAGCGGCCCTGGTTCATATATGTCGTCGCTAGGTTGTTCATGCTTATCAGCGTGTCGGGATGATCCTTGCCGAGCTTAATCTTGCTCATCTCCATCACCTGCGCCTCAAGCTTCTCAGCCTCCTCCAACCGGCCCTGGTTCCAATACGTCGTCGCGAGGTTGGCCATACTAGTTAGCGTGTAGGGATGATCCTCGCCGAGCTTCGTCTTGCTCATCTCTATCACCTGTAGCAAGACCTGCTCGGCCTCCGCCCATCGGCCCTGGTTCATATACGTCGTCGCTAGGTTGCTCATGCTCATCAGCGTGTCGGGATGATCCTTGCCGAGCTTCGTCTTGCGAGTCCCTATCACCTGTATGTTGAGCTGCTCGGCTTCCTCCCAGCGGCCCTGCTTCATATACGTCGTCGCTAGGTTGTTCATGCTCATCAGCGTGTCGGGATGATCCTTGCCGAGCTTCGTCTTGCGAGTCTCTATCACCTGCACCTCGAGCTGCTCGGCCTCCTCCCAGCGGCCCTGGTTCGAATACGTCGCCGCGAGGTTGGCCATACTAGTTAGTGTGTCGGAGTGATTCTTGCCGAGCTTCGTCTTGCGAGTCTCCATCACCTGTATGTTGAGCTGCTCGGCCTCCGCCCATCGGCCCTGGCTCATATACGTCGCCGCTAGGTTTGCTATGCTCGCCAGCGTGTCGGGATGATCCTTGCCGAGTTTCGTCTTGCGAGTCTCTATCACGTGCACCAAGAGTTTCTCGGCCTCTTCCGACTGGCCCTCAAGCCAGTACGCTTTTGCCAACATGTCGGTGCTATCCAAAACTTCTTCATGCTCTTCACCTAATAAAGCCGCCCTTTCATTTCTTGATCTTGATGCCATTTCTCTTACATCTGTGATGTTACCGCTTTTCGACGCATACCATGCGCCTCTGAAAAGTAGCGTAGCCCATTGTCGTCTAGATTGACGCGATGCTGGCCGCTGTGACATTGCAGCTTTAATATGAGGGAAGAGCGGCCTGCACGTCTCCCAGTTTTCGTATTCGCCGGTGGATAACGCTTCGCATAGATTGCTAATAAAGTAATCCCTCCATTGATCTATTTGTCCACGAGATTTCAACCACGCGCGCGTAGACAGTTGCACTAGTCGATGCATCGTGAAGAAAGTGCCAGTCTCGCTAACAGATATGAATGAGTAATTCCTTAACGTTGTGACATCATCTTCAAAATTGGGGCTCGCATCAGGTTTAGATGTCTTCCCGTCACTGGAGCCGTCCAAGAGCTCTGAGCCGAAGGTGCAGTTGTAGTTAGGTTGAAGCCGGATAAGGCTGTCCAGTATCCCTTGTCGATCGAAAAAGCTCATGAGAGAAAGCAAGTCCGATGCAGATGGCTTGGTGCGGCGAATATAGTCGAATGACATTTGCCACGTTACTAGAATTGAGTTCTTTGCTTCCCAGTCCCGGTAAAGGTAACCTGCCTCTTTTCTCAGAAGCTTTGTCGCTTCACGGTCACTCTCTTGGAAATCTCTTAGATACCGTGATACTGAATAGCGAGGCGCCCGATTTCGAATATAGCTGGCGGCCTGTACGATCGCTAGAGGCATGAACTCGAGCTCTTCCACCAACTGTCGACTCTCTTGGCTCTCCCCTACTTGTTCAAGCTTTCTTTGCAGAAGCTCTAGCGCCTCCGACCTTTCCATCGGCTTAACTTCAAGAAGGTCCTTGTGATCGACCATTTTCGACGCAACCTCTCTGGAGCGACTCGTTATAATGATAAATCCATTCCGGCTTCTAGGAATATACTCCAATAGCGGTTTGGTCGAGGCTTTTGTTAGGCCTTTCGTTGGATCTTGCTTCGTTGCCGCCGGAAACGAGCAAAGGAACTGAGCATCATCGACATTATCAAGGATACAAATCCAGTTCCCTTTTCTCTCATCCCTAAACCAGTTCTCGACTAGTTTAAATATGTTGGCCGTTGGATCCTGACGACCTGGGATTTTAACCTGGTCCGCGATGTCTCGGAAACTTTGCTCGAACCGGGCTTCGTTACTCGCATAGACCCAGAAAACCCATGTCGCCGGCGATTCGGATCGGATTCGGTAGGAGTATTCGATAGCAAGTTGCGATTTTCTTCGGGTTGTCAGTAATAAACTACGTACTGGTCGCTCTATACTCACCCGACACCGCCAAGCCCGACGAGCGCTATTCTTGACCCTGGCACTAGACTTTTCTCCTGAATCCAATGAAGCAGCGTGCTGCGACTAACAAAGTCTGGATCGCGCGTGAATGGCACAGTTGATAAAGGGCTGGGCGGAGTTTCCGGTCGCTCTAGGGTGGGACGTGGCGATTAGTAACGAGTTTAATCTTGTCCCGTTCCGCCAACTTACCTGGATGTAGATGGAACTCTGCCACGATTGAGCCACGGTTATCTCCAACCTGGATCCCATGGTTGTTTCCAACGAACGATATCGATGTCATAATAACCGTAGGTCGTCTGTGTTCATGTGAAGAGTCATTGTCTGACTCTCAGCTGAAGGAGGGGCACGTAGCCTTAGCTTCACCATCAGGTGACTCCGTGGCGCTAGGACAGGGAATTGGGTTGGCAGGCAACCCATATGGAGCATCGTGTTGGTCCTGCGTGGGGTAGGATTAGCCCCTTCCTAGGAACGAGATCAGCCCGAGCCCAAACACCCAGACCAAGCGCAGCACGCCATAATCAGCTAGATCCCATCCCCTTTCTCCCGATAAGCATATGAACACGCTTTATTAACCTCTGTATTTTGAGAGGCCATTGCCGTCATCAGTCCCAAAGACACAATGTAAGCGGTTCAACGTCACTATCTGATGTGGTTTCGTGCCATTTGCAGCCGGGGGGGTAAGGTTGGTGGTGCTGTAGCTTGGTGGTGCTGGAGTTTGGGACCCTTATGTTGGGACGACGTCAAGGTGGGCGCACTATAGTGTATTTCTGGAAGTGTAATGATACGTCCACTAATTACTTACACTAGTGTGTCCTCATTTTGGCATTTCACAATTCAGCTTTAGAACGGATCTTCAAACACGGGACTAACCATATCTGGATTGGTGTTGCATGTGATTAGGGTTTGAAAGAGCTTCTCTATGTTGTCGGACATGGAAGGCGATAGCGGTCGCCACTGTACTTGAACATGTCTACAGTATTACGGAACAAATTTCACGACCGAGTATGACGGAAACGTTCATGGAAGTCTCATCCATAGTCGTGAAGAAAACCAGAGAAATAAAGTCTATCGCTTCGCTCAAGTATCCAAAGGTTACAGCGGTTTATTCGCGAGATTCATTAGATCAGTGAGTATGATAATGCAATTTTAATCCTGATTCTCATGATGCTCATGGAAACCCATATCCTCACTCCATTGAGCGAAATGCAGACTACCAAAACTACCAATAGAATTTGCATTAATACTGTACTTAAATCGTCCTATCTGAATTTTGGCTCCCCATGAAGATTACTGCGACCTAGATACTTAATTCACATTGGTGCACCGCGTGAGGCCCTTTTTGTCTTGCCTCCCTGATAATTACAGGTACGATCGTAATCTGGTGGCGCTATCTGACCATTCAAGCCCGCTCCCAACTTTCCCTCCATTACCAAACTTTGCGAGGACAAAAATGACTGCCTTCATTGTTCAAATGGACTCACGATAAGAGATCTCTTCCCATGATTCGTGACCTGGGGTGGGAGTTGATGCCCCAAATTATTCTACCGACAATAGATAATGCTGTAGACAGCCAAGTGACACTTATCATCACTGAACCGATCGTGGCTTGAATGCCAACTTCAGTAGAAACCGCATTTAGAGCTGTAACAAATGAAACGTAAATCCCGGTTGCTGTAGCAGAAGCCAACGCGCTGGACATCATAGCTATCTGAATGTTGTAGCAACAAGTTAGCTTGTACTTTCTCTAACATGGGGTAGAATGATTTTTACACTTGAAATAATGGCAACCGCTTTACGGATCCATGGAGAGCCTTGATATTTTGTTTCAATAAGTGGTCCACTGATGCAAGTTGCGATATTTGATATAAAGGCAATCATATAAGCTGCATCCATAAATTGTGCCGCGTCACGATATACTGTTTCCGCCTTTTGAATCTCTGATGGGAACAGCTTTTCAGCCCAGGTCGTCTCGAGGCCTAATACTTCCGTAAAGTTAAACCAGAAGCCGGCATTCGGAGAACTGCAGTTTGTGATAACTGAGTTCGCTTCACCGTATTTTCCTTTACAATATCCCAACAACCCTATTAAATAAAACTCGGCAATATTTGATTCTAATTTAGCAAGTTCATTTTGAGCGATTTCTGGTAACTCTTTTGCAGCGGATGTGGCGCTCTGAATAGCACTACTTGCAGTATTTCCAATGTGCTCTGATCCATCTTTAACTGAAGAGCCTACGTTATTGGCATTTTCTGCCGCACTTGCCACTACCGAAGAGGTGTGGCTTATTAATGATCGTTTATCTACAATACCTGCTATCTCATTTCCCAAATCAGCAGAGAATCCCGTCATGTTAGCCTACATATTGTCAATATTTCAGCATATGTATAAAAGGTGGACAGCCGTCACATTGGCTTCTTACTTTCATAAAAAAAAGGTCTCTTTGAGGGCTTGACTTCTCAGTACATCCAGTCCCCACAAATACCAAGAGCAAGGCTGAGACCATGAAAAGTACGTATGACAAAACAGAGCATGATCGCCGGCTGAGTTCACTCATCATGGTTTCAGGACATTCAAAGCGAGTTTTGGGCACCTAAAGTTAATCTAATTAGAATACAGGCTTTTATGTATTCGTTTTGAATGTCAGAGTTAATCGTTCATATTCGAAATCAAATAATTGAAGATATCGTATTTTTTATTTTATCCGAAATAAAAACCGGTATATTCTGGAAATTATTGCTTGCTTGTCTTTTTTACAGTTGTTTTTCATTAATCATTTTTCTTTACCTTATTTTGACCTCTTTAACTAAAAATTGCGATCATGGAGAGCAGAGGTCTTTATGCTAAACAAGGCAGCATAAAATTCTAAGTACCATTATTTTTGTTGTTATTTTTATTCCTCGGGCTGGATGTAGTCTCGAGGACTTCTACCCCTAGGTTCGGTCATTTAATTGCATGAGAGCTCAGATTACCCCTAGATTGGGTGTTTATTTGCTCTTTTTCCTCTGCGTAATACTTACGCAGGTAGTCAGAGCGTGGTGTTGGATGTTATGGAATGATCCGTTTGAGCGATCACTCTAGGAGGCTTGCATCGTCGGTTGATCTTCTATTGTAGCTGCTATTTGAACATACCTTTCTACCTATCCATTACAAGCCTTGGTCTTAGTTCTCCTAGACTCTTCGTTATACTAGGCGTTTGGAATTAGGATGTCTTTTTTCCATGATCTACAGTACCTTTGGAAATCCTCGAGTTGATTGAAATGAATTTCACTCAACCTTCGGGGTTACATTCGTTTCTGGGCGACTTGCAATCAGAATTGTCGTTTGGTTGGCTATGAAATCTCTACATCACTTTTGAGGAATATCACGAGACTCGAAAGTCTGACCGAAATCGATTGATAACTTGAATGTGTTTTTTAGATGAAAAGGTGGTTTGTCAATGCGACATCCAAAGTGAAAGCATACTCGGATTTTATATGCAGCAAAGCTCATATTTAAATATAACGTGAAGAGATACATAACATAAACCGAGCTTATACAATAATCGGGTATTTTTGACGTGACAGGGACGTGGATTTGAATGTCTTTTGGTGACATCGGTTTCCAGAAGTACTGTCAACCTTTGTATATTATTTCATTAAAACATAATATACATAAAATAAGAAGCAAATCGGAAAGGAAATAAGTTTCGCAGCCGGAGACTATTGTTCTTTCAAATCTAAGAGGCAAGCTATTTTCACACCATTCTTCTAGTTCTTCCACTATATTTCAACCAATCATTCTAGATCTGAGGCTAGAACGGCGTTCAAATGCAGCGATCGCTTCAGCAAACTCGTTGATTTGTTCCATAGCCTTGGGGAGCGTTATCTGCAAGAGATATCCATCTTTCACTTTTCCAGTAATTCTAGAATTCCCAGGGTCTAAAATTACTTGCCCCATAAGAAATTCTTTGACAATATTCTCGAACCAAACATTCCTCGTGGCCACCGACGCATTTTTGCCGTCGTCCGAACCCGCATAGAAGGGAGAAAAAGTTCCTTGTTTATCAACGATTGCAGAATTTGTTATCCGTTTTGATTGCTTAGGTCGAGAGGTACCTTGCCGGGCCTTTGAAGCTGAAGATCGTGTGTTTCGAGACGTGGCTTGCCGAGCCTTTGAAACCGAAGATCGTGTGTTTGCCATTTGATATTTTCGTTTAATGTTGAGAGGAAAATAGGGATTCAAGACGAAGAACTGGAAATCTATCGAGACTTTGTTCCTGGGTCTATCTTATAATGCTTTGGTCCTTACTGCAAAACAATGTCACAGGGCAGAATTTTCCGGCCTTTTCTTACTCAATTTAGCTATTGTAAGCCAAACAGCCATAATATTACACCAGCCGCTTTATTTTGGATAGCCTTTTATGCAATTTCATTGAACGATCGTCCTGTGCTTACGCCTATTGAGAACTTGAAAAAACAGATGTCAATTCAATGACTTGGGTTTGGGATTCGGAAACTTCTAGTGTTCACTTCATTTTATATAACGTAAACGAAGTTCCAGATACAATATAATTAGGACGAAGGCGAATGTTTACCCCCTAGATATTGAAGGCTGTTTATAAACATGGCGTGTGTTGCCATGGTGCATAATGAAACTGCTCAAACAACTCTTCAAGTAGTAGCCTAATACACAGCACGGTAGCTAGAGACTAATATTAAGCAATTGCGTGGCATAATATTGAAAGAAGACTAAAAATGATTATAGGATAAAAGTTCCAAGCTCAATTCGCATAGACTGATGAAGATTTGCCTCCCTTTTTTTCCCTTTCCCCCCTCACTAGACGCTGACGGAGCTGTCCATCAATGTCCTTTTAATTAGTTCAGAATAAATCTAGCATAATTGCTTTCAAATCTTGGAAGCGATATTCGCAAACGAAGTTACAGCGATCGGGCATCCCATATTATAAATAGAGTGCCACCGTCCTTGGTATTTGTTTCAACCAGTGAATGTACTAAAAAATCCCTAGGTAATTCAGAACAGAATTGAGCTAAATGGGTATTTCTACGAAATCCTCCTCTCTAGTGCGCGATGGCTGGGCTTTTTTGATGGAAATCTTTCCAGAAAACAGGCAAACACCAGACGCCACTACCTATTCAATAATGCTAAATAAGAGCCAGGAGATTGGGATAATATACAATATATCTGCTGCGGCGTTTTCTTGGATTCTTCTTGCGGGGTATTTAGTATTGCCAAATACGTTCAATAACTTGCGGACATCTACGTCTGTTCAAGCATCAGTTTCTAAATCCGATATCGGACAAGCTACATATAATCTTTTTCAGAATACCCCTCTACTTATCATTGCAGGAATTCTGTGTTTTCTTGCTACCTGTGGTGAGGCCTGGCTTTGGTGGACATGGAGAAACAACTTGATGTGGCTACGAGGTAAAATATTTTGGTGAGTGGAGGGAATTTGTCTGCTAATCCTGTTATTATTATCTGTGCTTGTTTATGCTTACTTTGAAGCTAGGCCAGTTCTTTTTAATTCCGCCACAGGGTTCGTAAACACGTTGATTAACGTTTATGTCCACCGAAATGGTTTTTGGGCGGTTACTCCCACTGTCACTGCATCTGTGACAGGGTTCTTCAGTTTCATCTCAGGAATGTGTTTCCTAGTATATAACTACCGGATTGGCCTCCTTCGGGAAGTTTACCAAGCGGATCTAGAAAGAAGGACGCAGGAGTTGAGAAAACAAACAAGTTCTTCCCACGAAGGAAAGCATTTTATAATTGAGGCCTAGCTGATTTCGAATATTTCTGTGCAGTAGTAGTGGCTTGATATCTACATTTTTACAATACAGTCAGTAAGAAAACGTTCCGAAAAACCTAGACTCTCCCTTTCCCGTCCTGCACGAACCATTTATGCCTACTTCTCCATCCGAGGGCCCGGGGGAGGTTTAATTATTGTCTCCTTCATAATTGATATAAGTTTTACTCTATATTTAATTTTGGGTTTCATCACAGACAGTCTAATTCAGATCCACAGAGCAGAAATGCGGGAACCGGCCTTAGGGTCCCATCTTTCCATCCATTTCGCAGCGGCAGTAACTTGACCAGCATAGCACATTCTAAGTGCTGTTTCCAAATCCTTGACACCTTGTAAAATAAACTCTCGGCTGCCCGATCCATTCACTTGATCAAAATAATATTCCAAAAGGCCTGATTGGGAACGAGATGAAAGATCCTGTGATATTTTCGCGCTGGCAAGCACAAGCTCTTTGTATAGATTAAAACACTGGCCATAGAAGTCGTTCTCCCATTTGAGACCTCTGAGTTCATCCTCCAAGGACTTCTGCCGCTCGGTTTCAGAGTACAATCTCTCTGCTTTTGAAATTTGCAGGCGACTGGCTGTGGTTTCCAAGGCTGTACTAAACCCCTGCACATCTCCAATCCAATGGTCGACATCCGTGATTTGAGGGCAGTCTGGCTCTGAGGATACATTTGACCTGGTTCTTGTGTGGATTGGTGGAATGCAGAATTTTTCTGAGCCGGGGGATCTGCTATAGATACTGGATTGGCTTGGATGGGTGGACATGTCGAAGAATCACGATATTATTAAAAGACAGACGTTATCTGCCTCCCCCTGTGCAGACTGGCAGGAAGCTTGATATTTCTGCAAGACCTGGCTAGTTCTTATATAATGGCTTGCAATATGACGACGTCGTCATAACAGTACCGAACGGTTGCATATGTTTGCAAAGTAGTACTCGTTACAGTATTTATTACGTTTTTATTCTGATACCCTGTAACCATAATTTGCGGATATCCAAGAGAAGAAATAGCAGGAATTCCATTATAGAGCTTCCTCAAACCTCACGCGAAATGCCAACGTCTGATCCCGAACTTGGGATGTCGCAGTACCAACGACCGGGACTTGATTCTGTTCGTCAATGTACGCCAATGTACGCCAGAATGGGTACAGCCATTATCGAAATCGGCTTGACCAATACACTCTGGATCACTCTTTTCTGGCCCCACCGCCAAGACCTTAGCGCATATCAATCATTGGGCAGGCCACATGGAACTGAGGGACACAGTAAAATGCGGGCTGTATGTTACAGTATATAACTCCTAAAATTACACACGGGGCAGACGAGAATTCAGTGGAATTCCGTGGAAACCGATAGTGATCATGCTGAAAGAGCCGCCTTGCACCTGGTTCCTGGGCGATCTGCCAGGTGACCGAACCGTCATGGAATATTCCACAAGCAGTGTAGAGCCGTTCAAATTCCTCTCTTCTCCCAGGCCCTTCCCTATAAAGTGATTAGAAAACAAAAGCGGGAAAAGCACCAAAAAATAAATATAAAAATAAAAATAAAAATTTTGCACCTATAGACAAAACCTGATAATGGTCATTCGCCCTGATGTGTGTCCCAGAGCAAGTACGTTACCATGAATGTTGAAACAGCTGGGAGCCTTTTCACTGTTCAATTTCATCCATTGCCTATCCTCAATAGAGATACAATACTTAGATTTGCATGAGGCGGATGAGACGTAGGAAGGTCACACCTGGATTCAATGTCCAAAAAAGGGGATTTTGTCAAGGTCTACGCTAGATAAATGGCTCACGCCTATATAATTTTACCTTTTTTGAACCTTCGTGCCTAATGCCATGTGAGTGATAATGTGTGATTGGCTTATTTGTGGCGCGTAACGCAGCAATTACCGGTTCGATATCTGCTGAGGTTGCCATGATATCATGGTCGCAAGGCAGAGTTAACGCGTTCGAAACACGCAGCGGGGACGTGCACGTGGTGGAGAAATTGCTACAGTACATAATGTTGTCCTGTCCGCGTTATGAGTTATGACCCGCGTTATGCTCAGCGTTATCTTCCTACTCACCCGCCACCATCGCCATCACTTTCAACTTATATCCTTAACTAACCGGCTATCTGTCCAGCAATGGCTGACCGCTCGCCAGCGGGCAAGGAGTTGGCGGTTCCACCTCGCGGCGACCCAGACCGGAGGCGAGTACTCGGCGTTCTAGCACAACGGAGATATCGTACGTACCATCTGAGCCTCTCCTTCGTCCAGCCCATAACGCCTGTCTAGGCGATCGCAAGAAACTATCGCGAACGGCAAGGCGAGACTTCCCAAGTGTCACTGGCGCATCTGCGCAGCAAGTTCATCTAGAGACACCCAGAGGTGGCGGCGACGCTCCACTTGCAAGTGACAGCCTTCAAGCACGCACCTCCGTATCCGGCGATGCCCGTAACGTAGATGAATTGTCGTTGACTTGGACTGCCGGAGAAGATGGCCTAAGTTCGCTACAAGACTATGTGTCTTGGCTCTACAAGCTGATTCAACGGCAGGCTCTGATATGATGTTCGATAGCGCTCTCTCAGGAGAGCTGCAGGACCTACTAACAGAGACTTTTGAATTTCCCGACGACAGAACCCTTGAAGTACCTGCTCTCAAAGTCATGCGAGCCGCCGTCGATGTGGCCACGAGACTCAACTGCCTACCATTACTGTGGAATCCAGCTTCAATCCACATCGTTGGCCCTACAGCTCCGTCGTCCTTTCCTCTACCCCAGCACTTCTTTCCCGTATCTGCGCAGCTCACAATCCCTCACCATCCGCTGTTCGACATATTACCCTGGCCGACTGTCCGGACAAAGTTCATCAATGCTTTTGCGTTGCCATCCGAGTTACGACCACCATCTGCGAGAGACCCTCTTGCCCTTATGCATCTAGTGTACGATATGGATGATGAGAGGGAGGGATGTCGGATTTCCGGCTGTGATGGGATGGACGTGGCGGGTTGGGAAATTGGGCAAAGGGTGTTTGATAACTGGTGGTGGGCTTTGGATCGTGATGTACTTGCGCAGTCTAACCGTCTGCGATACGCAAGAGGCGCGAGGTGTTTGACTTTGGGATCATCTGACTAGCGGCTGTGTGGGATCTGTAAAAAGATGATATACGAGAATGCGAGCATGCGTTAACGGCGAGAACGGGCACAGGTTGTCAACATAACGGATCATAACGCTGGCGGCAGTCGACGACCGGGCTACGTGTATATATAATAGGGGACCCATAGGCGTTCCGGTCCGGAGAGGCTATACATACCTAAAGTTCAGTAATTCTTCGCATTATACTGGATAGTGACTGTAATGGAATCATCAGGTCAGTCTTATCCCGCATTCGACCCCACTAAAGATTTGTATCTAACCGTTGTTCAAGAAGGGGACCAACTTCTCAATACGCCTCAGCCATTGGACAATAATATGTTAGCGCCAAGGGCTACCCTCGGCAAGGCTTGTGCCGTTACTATGGCCGCCCTCCGCGCTGGAGTCGGGCTCAGCGCGGTCTTGGCTCCTACCCTGCTGAGTCGCGTCTCCGGTCTACCTACGCCCCTTAACACGGCATCCACACTTGTGATGCGGCTTTTCGGAATTCGTGACGCCTTACTCGCAGCTGCACTATGGGTTACTATGAGAGACGAGTCCAAGAGCTTATCCGTGTCTGCTCTAGGGGAAACGAGACGTAGCGTCAGGAGGGTACTTTCGGGAGGCGTTGTGGTCGACCTGGTAGATGCCGTTAGCGTTTTTGCGACTGTGGCAGGCCATGGAAGGTTGACGCCTCAGGCGGTCGGTGTCTTTGGTGGCGGCGCGGTGTTGTTCATGGGCTTAGGAGCGGCTGGACTTAATGCGTATAGGGTGTGATTCATTCTTCTCATCACCCATTATTATATGCGGGAGACTAGACAGTCAAAGTTCAGTGAATACCTCTGAGGCCTCCGGGACCTCATATTGAACCCTCAACGGAGTAATCTGTACCATTGCGCATACAAGCGCCTCGCGTTCCTATTCTGCTAGCTCCTCAGCTGAACAACACGCAAGGCATCGGAGGTCTAGCCACGTCGTGTAACTCAGGACTCAGGACCACAAAGACCTCAAATGGAGGTTGCTTGACTTGATTGGCGTCTGTTCCATGAGCTTAGTTCCCAGAGTCTGCCAGACGGGGAATCAGGCATTGCATGCCGGTGATATGCTCTCTGGGCATCGTCTGCTGCATCACAACCCTTTAATTCGTTATTGATCATTGCGCATTCGCCGTTTCCAGATTAGTGTAGTTTCGAGTACGAACCGAGGAAAAAAAGTGCGTTAATCAATGGGGGGAGTCTGTTTTCGACTCCCACTATAAGGCGTGAGGGCAGCATGACAGCAACAACGTGTACTAGGATACGACAGGCGTCGGCGAGGCATTAAGTTCGCTTAGGAAGTGGTACACGACACAGGTACGCATGAGATCTATTTAGTTGTTGTAGCCTGCATATCACTTCGGCGAGGGTTCAGGGTAAATGAAGCCATCGACCCATCCATCCACATTGTATTGCTTTTTTCACAGAGATTAGGACAATACTCGGAGCTGCTAGACTTGGCTTGTGGCAATATCACTACTATGTCCTTCAGCGAAGAACTACGGGGTACAGACATGTCAATACTCTACGATAATGAATGCCCTGCGAAAGAACTGAAGGCACTCCTGTCTAGATATAAAGAAATCTACAGGTATCGGCTGATAAGAGTGCTTACATGGAATCTAGTGATAAGGGATATTGTGCACATGGTGGAACAGATAGATTTCCTCAAATCCTCATACTCGCTCATGCTACAGTTGTACCAAGTTAAGATGATCCAAGGCCAAATTCAGATGTCACGGCAATCTTCCCGGCGCGAGAATCTGACATGAGCAGAGGCGGTAATATTCTATCTATCGTTGACACTGAAAAGTTGAAGCCACCTTCAGATTGTCTACAGACTGGTCCGCATAGACCCACCATCGCCTCCATGTAATTCCACCAAATTCTTGTACGTTACGTGAGTTTACTAGAAATATACAATACCATACGCACTGCATTTTACGGCGGCCCTCAATGAAGTGTGACCTCCTCAATGAATGGTCTACGCTAAGGCCTTGGCATGGGGCCAGAAAAGAGTTTCTCAGTGTGTAACGTTACTGGTCAAGGCGATTTCGAGAATGCCTGTATGGAGAGCACTGTGACAGGAACTGCAGAGGAGAAATAGAAGGCCGTGCAACAGCGTGTTGACTTTGTTCGGGTCGGTCATGAACTGGTTCCAAATATAAGTAAGACACTCCAATAATGTCTCATGAGGGATATGTACCACGGTCGGATCTGCGCTAGCCATTGTGAAAGCAGTATAACCGGCTGGTTTCGTAAAGTCGTGCTCAAGGAAAGCTGTCTACTTGAGCCAACGATAATTACCTCACAGTTCCTTGAGAAGTCACCAGTCCCATTTTCAGGAAGAGTCTGTACAATACATATAAATATATGTGGTTATTTTTCATGTCAGGAAGGGTCAGCCATCATGCAGTTATCAACCTCTAACGCCGGTGTTACAGTATCGCATTATCACGAATAGAACGCTTCAAGTTATTTATCCATCCATCGCTATTTTAACTCCAGTTGGTTGATATTTATTAAACAAGTCAATAAATTTTCGGCTACATGTAAGTGAATTGTGGAGAAAAAAAAATGTTCCCAATGTATTTTTCTCCCTTTAAGAGCACGATATTAATTTTTGGTTCACGTGATCCGATACGGATCAGCTCCTCCAAGTAAAACCCATGTGCACAAGTAGGAACTAGACCACGATCTTCATCTTGACTGATTTGGCTTTGGCAAAGATAGAAAAGAAATCAGCCATTAAATTTACAATTAAAGAACAAGCAGACGCTTGGCATGCTAGCGTAATGAAGCATCCCAGCTTTTGTTTTGCCCTTACCCCCAAATTTGATGTCCATTGAAATAAGTCCGACTGAGAGGTTATTAAAGATTTTTTTCAGAGAGCCGAGTCAGGTTACTACTCTGGACGGGGTGCTTTTGGCCGGGTAGCAAAGGCATTGTTGACTTGATCGGAGACTTCTTTGGACCATGTCGTTAAACTCTCCAAATAATCCAAATTTCTTCCAATATCCTGCTTAATTTGGCTAAAAGCAGATGGCATGCAGTTAGTTAAAATTAGTATCTTCAAAAGAGCAACATGACTTGCCTAAGCTCCTTGTTTTGTCTATCCACGGGCCGTTAGCATTAAACCATTGCCTGTTTTGAGGCGTTTCTTACGCGGTGTAAAAATCATTAAGTTTTCTGTCAACCTAGTTAGTCAATATATCACCTATAAGGGGAGAGAAGTACTTGATTTGTTCCTGGCATCTAGTTTGTATGGTTATTAGCGGTCTCCAAAGAAATTAAAAAAGGGAGAAAGTGTTTCTCACATTTGAAGCTCCTGTTGCAATTGGCTGGGATCAGAGACATTAGAAGATTTTGCTCAGATTTGAAGAAGAAGGCCATTTTCTCACTTTAGTTGGCTAGCTTTCCTGGTGGGCATTCTGCGAAAACAACTCTCGTTGTTAGTTTTTAAATTGGTCTCGAACATATCCAAAGGCTTCTGCCCATCGCTTTAAGAAGATCAGTCAGATTGACACGTGGCACACGTCAGCCAAAACTCCTGCTCGTCGTGCGTGACGTTATGTCTCCCTGAAAGGAAAAGGAAAAGTCTGTCGAAGAGGCTCGGAAAAATAGGAATAGATTCAAAAACGTACTTAGGCAATGAGTTCTCTTCATACCACGACTGATCATCGCCATCCTCTGCGGCTGCAAGATCCAGACGGCGCTCATCGTTAGGAGCTGCAGTGCTGATCTCTCTTAAGTAGCTCAGCCATTCAGAATCGTGAAATGACATTGCTCTTTAACGATACCAAGTAAAAGAGATGATTCAATAGACTAGAAGAGATACTGGAGTTATCTGAACTAACAAATGCTGATGCTAGATTGCGGACGGGAGCAAGATATATGCTTATAGGTATTGTGGTAAGGTACTCATGGACAGGTTTCCATTGCCGTCCCTCCATTTTCTGGAGAACTTCAAATCCACTGTTATTTTTTGATGTAACTAAAATAAGGTAAGGCATGTTGCCTTCACTTTGTTGAATCAGTGGTGGCGTGAAAAATGTGACTCGGTCACAGTTCAACTCTTGCCCAAAGCGCTGGGATGCATCCAACCTAGTTCAATGCTTTGCGTTAGCTGAAGATCTTGCAATAATTTTTGTTGACATAAGGACCTAGTTTACCCTAGGAAGTGCTTATCAGGGCTTTGAGTCTGGCGGTGGGAACGCCGAGCTCAGAAATAGGTGTTTTTAAACAAGACGCAGTAAATAACTTTCCCTAAGGCGTTCGTATTCGATAAAGTGTGCTTTTTTGTGTTATTAATAAAGGCTAGATGGAGCTTTAAATTGAAAAACAAAATATAAAACAAACTCTCTGTGGTGCTGGACTTCGCTGAGATATCAGTGGTCCGTCTTGTACTCTAGCATGTTTTAAAATGGCTGTCTAGAGGCACGGTGAGTCATGACATAGTAAAATGGATACATGTATAATCCCAATGCGTGATACTGACTCCATGAGTAGTGCATATCAAAGTGACAGAACGATCCCATCAAACAGTACGACAGTCGCACGTGATTGACAAAGCCCTCCTTTGAACCGGAGCAGCAACTTGGTCACTCCCTCCAGGAACAGGCAAAGTTTCATTTTTTTTATTCTCTCTTTTAGAAAATGAAAATGAGGTATTCTATATACAGGATACACAAACAGAATACTGTACAGTACAATATCCGTCCACAGACTACCTCTATGAACAATGATTCACAACCGAAACTTTCTTGCGAGGTCTCGTGGCACAAAATCATTCATTTGGCTTAACAGGCTTTTCTTTCATTGTTGATATGTCTGTAATTGGTTCAGACATGCATCTCCATGAATCAAAGGCGTTCGCTTCGACTTCTCCGATATCCTTTATAGCTTCTTCGAGCTCCCTAGCCATTTCTTGCGCTGAAAGATACATAAATGGCGTATTCGGCGGGTCCGATTGAGATAAGAGGAGTAAATCATCTGCAATGTTCTGGACTCTTTTCTGGAACTCCTGAAGGAGCGAGTAACAAGTGCGGTATAGCCTGTTAACGGCACGTTGTTGCCCGATTTCCTTTAAAATAGCGATTTCATGGTCGGTCATTATTTCGTAAAAAAGAAGTACATAAGCAACGACTGAAGAGTGGTGACTCGAAGCCAAAGCCTCACGCCAGATGATAAATAAGACTTTATGTAAAAAGAATTTCCGTCTTGTGCGATAGCTCTAAATAGCGTTTGCGGTCCATAATCGGGAGGAGTTTATTGGCCGAAAGAACATATTGAACAAAGCAGAACATGAAGGTGATATTTATCGCCGGAAACTTTTTTTAACTGTTTAACTTTTCAACTTGTCTTTTTTTCAACTGTTCATTTTCTTATTCGGCTCTTAAAAGTAAAAAGCGGGAAACAGGCCAGATTGCGTAATTTCCTCGCTTAAAGGATGCGTCGCTAACAGAGACCGTATAGTCTACACTCCCCGAGGATTCATACAGTAATAGTAATTCATTCTCTAGTATCGAGGACCATTTCCCGTCTGCGTGCCCATTAAATTATTGCTATGGACTAATTTTTATACCTCTTGAAAACGGACCGTTGTGCCACATTTTAAAATAATATGTGTGGAAGTGAATGTGTTACCTGTAAATCAGATGTAATCTTTATTTGTTTATCAACTTAATACAGGAGCTTTGATTACAATGGACGATTTATAACAGAGTTATCCTCCCCTTTCCA